CAAGGTGTGCTGTTGAAACAAAAGCTGGTGAAGATAACACCTTGTGGGAGTAACTGCATACATGTTACTTTCCCAAGGGAAACCGGTGAATGAGTCAGGGCTGCCAGGGAGGATGACAGAAGAGGCTCAGTCATGCACTGAATCTCTACCAATCTCTTTTCATTTTAAGACAATGCCTTCAAAGCCTCTGGTGCTCCTCTGGTAAGATTTTTGCAGCTATTGGGCCTGAGATCACAAGACAGTTAACAAGAGGTGTCTTCAAAACAGTGGAAACTCAGAGAACTTCTGAAAGGAATTGGGTCTATTAGAGGAATAATGGAGAACTTGATATTCTATTCATTTTGCACAGTACTTTGTCTCCCAAACAATACTTTTAGCTGAGAAAAAAAATCTTTGTCCTTTTATAGTGTGAAAGTTCATTTTTGATTGGGAAAAATTGAGTTTAATCTTATAAAGAGCTGAAACATTAAGAAAAAAGTATGTGAAATGTCCAGCTGATGGGAAAAAGTCAGATTCTCTCTCTGGAGTTCAGCCCAAGATGCGTTCCATCCTCCTGACAATATCCTTATCATGTGCCTGAAATTTTGCCTGGTATTGATCATAGAGGGATTATTCTCACATCTGGGAAAAGCTTTTGTCATATCACTATGTCTCAAGTCAGTGTCAAATTCAGTGGCAACAGTTAACATTTTATAGATGATGAAACTGAAGTCTAGAGAGAGGCTTTCTGTGAGTCAGTTCTCCAGGTCTGGCACTGGTTAGTGGCAGAGGAAAAGGTAGAACCCAGGCTCTCTGACTCCCAACCCCATGCTTCCCTTTCTATTGGGTTCTTGCTAAGGCTCTGCTGTTTAGGAGCTCACACTTCTAAACCACTTCCAGGAAACAGTACACAAATTCTAAAAAGATTGCTGTCCCCCATACTCCTTCCTTACCCCAGCAGACTTACCCACAACTACCTATAACTTCTAAGTGTTTAGCCCAAAGACGGTAGAAGTCACAACTGATGAAGTAGCAGGCTGATTGACAAATCATAGGATCTCAGAGGTGGAATGTACTTTAGAAATCATCTAGTGCAAATTCTCTCCCTATACAAAAGACACTGAAGCCCAGAGGAAAGATCTGATATGTCTGTGGTTATCCACTTGTGATCCAGGTATAATTAAAACTCAGGTCTTGTGTCTTCTACTCTGCTCTTTATTAAATGTGGCAAAGATTATACAATAGGCTCTTGGTAACGGTGCCCAGTCAGTAACAGGGAAAACAATGATGGTGTCTTTAACAGATAGAGGGATATCAAAAAGATGGATGGATTTGGGAAAGGAGTATAGTTTTAGATGTTGATTGAGATAATAACTCACATGTATATAGTGCCCTAAAGTTTGCAAAATACTTTAATCTCATTTGATACTCACAACAACCTTGTGAAGCAGTTGCAATTATCATCCCCATTTTATGAAGAAGAAACTGAAACTTCTGGGGGTAAAATGATTGCCCAGTATTATACAGCCAGTAATTGGTTGGAGCAGGATTCAAATGCAGGCTTTCTTAATTCTAAATCCAGAGCTCTTTCTACTATGCCAACCTTTCATCTCTCAGACATGACTGGTGTTGTGATATCCAGCCAGAAATGTCTGGTAAATATTTGGATATGGAGCTTTAAAAAGAGGTCGGGGTGGAGATGGATATTTGTATGATTAAATAAACATATTTAAACATAGCCTGAGTTGATCATTTTCTGAGTCTAATTCTGCTGACCTTGCTTTTGTGATGGGATTCCAGCTTGCCTCCTGAAATTCTCCAAGCTTTTAGGAAACTAATTAGAATCACATTTCCACCAGTGATGACCCCAGAGCACCAGTCAGGTGTTCTTTCTCCCTCCACATTCAGTGTGTAGCAGGGAGAGAGCCAGGATTCCAGTGAGAATGCTTTGATGAGGCTTCTCAGCATGTCTGACACTTTAATGTGCTCATTGGTTTCCAGAGGGGTTCGGTTGTGATTCCTGATTCATTCCGGGATGCTCTTCTCAGTAGTATGAGGCTCTCTATTCATCTCAGATGATTAAGAAGAAAAAATGTTTTAGTGTTGATAAAAAAAAAAAGACTTTCCCTATCACTTCATCAGCACACATCAAGTGGCCATAGTGATCATGTAAAAACATAGATGATTAGAGCTATCCATCATAAACTCCTTGGGACCAGTCCACTTGTCTCATTTTACAGGTGGAGACATTACTTGCCTGGTTGTTGAGCTAATAAATAGCAGCCCTGAGATCACCAGACCCTTTCTCCAGTGTTCTTCCCACTACACTCCTCTCTCTGACTTTCAGCTTCTGCTCTTGCCAGTAGTAGTCTACTTGTTCAGGACTTGTACTCTCTCAGTAACTTCCTGAGCATCCTCCCTCCCTCCCATCCTGATTAGCATCATGCTGGATGAATCAGGTGGTCCTCTTTACTGTGCAGCAGTAGTTACTGTTGCAGCCAATCAGCAATTAAGTGCTTACTGTGTGGCAGACCCTGTGCTACGCTCAGTTTATGAGTATGAGTACTTAGGAAGCTTAGATTCTTTTTTTGAAAGAAAATTTTATTGATAACTTTTGTTTTCACATTACATATTTTTTCCTTATATCACTAATCTCCTCCTCCCAGAGAGCCATCCCTTATCACAAAAAAATTTTTTAAAAGAAAAAGGAAAAAGAAAAAAATCAGCAAAAACTTCCAACAGATCAAAAAATCTGAGGTAATATGCAGTGTTTTTCACCTGAGAATCTGCTACCTCTGTACTGGAATTTGAGGAACTATTCTCTCATAACTCTTCTTTGGGGTCAAGTTTGTTCTTTGTAATTTTGCAAGATTCATTTTTTGTTGCTTTATGGTCATCGTTCTTTTCATTTACATTATTATAGTTATTGTATATATTGTTTCCTTGGCTCTCATTACTTCACTTTCCATGAATTCATGTAGTCAATAGGCATTTATTAAGTGTTTACTTGGTGTCAGGCACTGTGCTAAGTGCTAGGGGCATACAAAGGAAGCAAAAACATGGCCCCTGCCCTCAAGGAGCTCACATTCTAATGTGGGACACAACATACAAACTGCTATGAATATATAAAATATACACAGTGTAGATGGGAGGTAACCTTAGAGAAGGGCACTAACATTGGGATTTGGGAATGAGGGAGCAGTGTAAAGGTGTTCTGTAAAAGCCAGTTTGAGCCCAGTCCTGAAAGAAGCCAGGAAAGGGAAGTGAGGAGGGAGAGTATTCTAGGTATGCAGGCCAGCCAGTGAAAAGGCATACAGTCAGGATGTTGAGTGTCATTTTCGAAGAATAGTGAATAGTGAAAGGAGATTAGTGGATCATAGAGTGCATGGAGGGGAGTAAAGTGTAAAAAGTCTGGAAAGGTAGGAAGGAGGAAAGGAGGCAGGTTATGAAGGACTTTAAAAGCCAGATGGAAGACTTTATATTTGATCCTGTAGAGAATAAGGAACCATTGGAGTTTATCAAGTAGGGGGAGGGTGACATGGTCAAACTCTGGGAAGTTAACTTTGGCAGCTGAGTATGGGATGGACTAGGGTGGGAAGGGGCTTGAATTAGGGAGACCAATTAGCAGGCTATTGCCACAGTCTTGCAGTATTGCAATAATATTGCAGTGAAGTGATGAGAACCTGCAACAGTGTCTTGGCTGTGTGAGTGGAGAGAAGGGACATATATAAGAGATGTGCAGGCAGAAATGATAAGATTTGGTAATAGATTGGATGTGTGGGGTCAGTGAAAGTGAGGACTGAGCATGACACAGTTTGCAAACCCAGGTAGCTGGGAGGATGGTGGTAATCTTGACAGTAAGGAAGGTGTTAGGAAAAGAGGAGGATTTTGGAAGAAAGATAATGAGTTTAGTTTTAGATGCTGAGTTGGAGATATCTACAGGACATCCAATTTGAGATGGCCATTAGACTGTTAGAGATGTGAAACTGCAACTACGGAGAGAAGTTAGGACTGGATGAACAGATATGAGAGTCATCTGCATAGAGATGGTAATGGAACCTATGGGGGTTGATAAGATCTCCGAGTTTGATAGCATAGAGGAAGTAGAGAAGAGGGTCAGGGAGGGGGACACCTGTGGTTGGTATGCATGGGCAGGAAGTATATCCAGCAAAGTGGACTGAAAAGTAGATAGGAGGAGAACCAGGAGAGAACAGTGCCATGAAAACCTGAGGAGAGGAGAATATTCAGGGGAAGAGGGTGATCCTCAGAAGCTCCAGAGAGGTCAAGAAGGAGGAGGACTGAGAAAAGGCCACTAGATCTGGCAATTAAGAGATCACTGATACTTTTGGAGAGAGCTATTTCAGTTGAATGATGAGGCTGGAAGCCAGACTGCAGAGAGTTTAGAAGAGAGTGAGAGGGCAGGAAATGTAGGCATCAATGATAGCTTTCTCGAAGAGTTTAGCTATGAAAGTGGAGGATGATATAGGATGATAGCTGGCAGGGAGGATCAGATGGAGAGAGGGTTTTTTAAGGAGAGGGGAGATAGGGAAGTAGGCAGTAGACAGGAAGAGATTGAAGATTAGTGAGAAAGTGGAGACGATGGGGCATGGGATCACTTGTGCATGCAGAAAGGTTTGCCTTGGCAAGGAGAAAGAAGATCCACTTCTTCATGTGAGACAGGGGTAAAGGAGAGAAAGATGATGAGGAGAAGCTCTTTGTGAATGGCCTGTTTTTTTTATTATTTTTTGGTGAAATATGAGGTAAGGTCCTCAGCTAAGAGGGTGGAGGGAGGCAGTACCACAGGAGGCTTGAGGAGGGATGAGCCCCTATGGTGAGTGGGGCCTAGTTGAAACTATGTAGCATAAATTGTGGACCTAGTCACCTGTTTTTTATTTTCTTTAGCTCTGTTCAGCAGTTCATATAAATCTTTCCAGACTTCTCTGTATTCATCATATTCATCACTTCCTACACCACAGTAATATTCCATTACATTCATTTATCATTGTTTTGCAATTCCCCAGCTGATGGATACCTACTTTAATCTCCTGTTCTCTGCTACCACAAAAAGTGCTGCTGTAAATATTTTGGTATATGTGGAGATTTCCTTTTTAATCAGTGACCTCCTTGAGGTAAGGAGTTTATATTCTAATGGGGGAGAAAATAAGTATATATGCAAGGTGTCTCAAAAGTATTCATGCAGTTTTAAGCCCAAAGCTTAAAATGCACGTACTAAACTGTGCTATAATTTTTGGAACAGAGTATAAATATGGGCAGCACAAATATAAAATTAATAAAAGCCAATATATCCTGCACAGCTAAATACAAGGTAGTATGGTTTGGAGGGATCTAGGAATCAGGAAAGGGTTCATGCAGAAGATGGGGTAGGGAAACTTCCCTTCTCATTGGAGAAGCAGCAGGGTGATTCATGGCTCCTGCTGGGGGTGCAGAAGAAGAAGAACGGGACAAAGGGATTGAAATTAACAGCTAATGCCTCTTTTGCTGTGATTTTAGAAATTTAGGAATTTATAATAACAGAAAAGTGCCCAAGTTCTAAACAATTAATTTATAAACAAAAACTTTAAATACCTAATTTTAAAACTAGAAGCAATGTATGTCAGTTTTTTGTTATTATTATTTTTCTATATTAATATATCATTGACATACAATAATGTGGCACCATGGAGTAGACAGACTGCAAGACTTGGAGTTAATAAAGCCTTGGCTCAAATACTGCTTCCTGATGCTTTGTTACCTGATTGTGGGTAAGTCACCTAATTTCTCTGAGTGTTGGATAACTCTAAAGTTATAAATTATAGCTGGATTATGATCTGTTTTGGTGTGGGTGTTTTCACACTGACATAATCAGAGGTCCTTGGCATATTTTATAACATAATTTATAAAATATTGTAACAATAATAATGATGATGCTTCAGTATTTCAGTGGGTCTTTGATCTCATTGGTGTGGGGCCTGCCTTCTTATTCTATACAATTCTTGTCCATGTCTTGTAAATCTTCCATAGAACTAAGCCATGTGATAGGGACCATCCTCTAAATCTCCTGACTTTTGTGGGTACCAATGAAATATGTAGGCTGGCCACCTCACTCTCTTTCCATGGTTAGCCAACCTCCTCTCCTGGTGAAATAGCTTGCCAGACTTGAAATAACAATAGCTCACATTTGTGTAGTGCTTTATGATTAAGAAATATTTTGGCTATTTTACATTAAATTAATAATGGTGTATAACAAATGAGGGAAACGCCATTCAAAATGCAGCTCTTGAGTGAAGAAAAGCTATGCCTTTGTACCATTTAAAAACATTTCTGTGGTTGGTAGAAAGGTGCTCTGTTATAGCAAACTCTTTTTTGGGGGGGGACAATTGGGGTTAAGTGACTTGCCCAGGGCCACACAGCTAGTAACTGTCAAGTATTTGGTCTGAGGCCAAATTTGAACTCAAATCCTTCTGACTTCAGGGCCAGTGCTCTATTCACTGCACCACCTAGCTGCCCTTGTGGCAACCTCTTATACAAGCTTTTGGTCTGGTCTTGCCTGGGAGCAGGGGAATAGACTAATCCCAGAGTTCATTGATTTTCAGCTATAACCTGAAAGATTTAGTGTTTGGGCACAACTATTACAGTATCTAGTAATATTGGAGGTTTACAATTTAAAAAATCTAAAATCATAGAATGTCAGAATTTGAACTCCTTGAGGACAGACTTTCATTCTTGTCTGTTTCCCTAGTGCCTAGCATAGTACCTGGTACAGAGGAGGTACTTCATAAAAGTAAGTTGATTGATTGACTTATTGGAAGGGAGCTTTGGGATCACCTGTTCCTCCCTCCACAGTTTATGAAGAAGTAAGCTAAGGCTTAGAGAACCCGAGCAACTGGCCTGAGACACACAGCCAGGACATGGCAGAGCCAGGAAGAAATGACAACACACATTTCTCTTATGCTTTAAAAGTGTACAAAAGACTTTTATCACATCCACAGGAAGAAGGTTGTCGCAGATATGATTTCCATTTCATAGGCAAGAAAGTTCAGGCCCAGAAAGATGAAATGATACCCATAGCCAAGCAACAACTACAAGGTGATGGAGCCCATGTTTAAACTTGTCTTCTGGTTCCAAAATCCAGAGCTCTCCATGTTCTTCTTCTGCTTTCCTGAGGTGTAGGCCAGTGTTCCTTTTATTCAGCTATACTCCCAAGGTAATATGCTCTTTGTCTGGTAGGTTTCCAGTTGTGACCCTGGCTCAGTAATGTACAGAGTCAGTTCAGGGAATCCATTCTCAACAGTGTATTCATGTATGCTGGTTGCCAATCAGGAAAACCCCTTTTTCCGTTGACATTTCCAGAACACCATCCAGTTTATGGCTCATCTCAAGTTACTTCATAACGTCAGGCTGAATTTTCTTCACCTTGCACACTTTAGTAGGAGCTGTCTTTTGGTACTGGCACTGAGGAAGAAAGAAAATAACTACTGGGGAGTGGAAGGGTCAGAGACAAATTAAATTAAATCTAATATTTATGAAGTGTCTGTTTTGTGCAAAAACCTGTGACGTAGACTGTCAATGTAGATTCTTTGGGATTATCCATATTTTTATCTCTTCTTAAGTGTGGATATTTGAAATTTAAGTGGAGAAATATTGGATAGCTCACATTTATATAGCACTTTAGGATTTTCGTAAGACTTTCCTCGCAACAACTTTATGAGGTAATAATAATAATAACAATAATAGTGGTAATAATAGCTAGCATTTAATAGCACTTTAAAGTTTGCAAAGTCCTTTACAAATAATATCTCATTTGATCCTCACAACAACTCTGGGAGATAGGTGCTATTATTATTCCCATTTAGATGATGCATATATTATTATCTATTTTACAGATGGGGAAGCTGAGGCTGAGAGAAGTCTTTTTCATGATCAAACAAATTAGGAAGTCTCAGAACTGGTATTCACAGTCAAGTCTTCTTATGGCAAGACCACCCCCCCCTTTTTTTTTATCATACCATTGTTGCCTCACATGGTAAGTTCAAGGAAGAGGGTAGTTATCATCCCTCATCTCACCAGAGGCTTGTGAGTGTCTGCGGCCTTACCATCTCTTTCCTGGCCATGTAAGTGCCTAGGTCTCATAGTAACTAATAGTTGCTGGTATAGAGGATGAGTAGGGTGGTACAGGAGAATTACTGGAACCACAAGGAAGGACAGCCCCCTTTTGACTCTATGCCCAAGCACAATTCCCAGGAAGAGGCAGAAGAGAGCAGGGAAATTTGGAACTGAGGTTGTGTCTTAATTAAAAAAAAATCTCTAATTTGGTGCATGTGTGTACTCACATATCCCAAGCCCTCTACACCTTAGCAGATTGTGCACTATAACTTCCTGTAGTCACCCCAAATTCTTCCCTTTGGGGCCAGTCTTCGGGTGAGGAGAGCCCCTGCCCTTAAGGAGGCTGGTCCTCAGACAATAGATGACAGTCCATTGCTGGGTCAGTGTTGCTTTCCAGCTTGGGTGCGATCTGCCAAAGCTTGTGCTACTCTACCATCATGCCTTGGGGTAGCAGCTTGGTAGAATTGAAAGAACTCTGAATTGTAGGTTATTAAAAACTAGAGGACTACATTCAAATGCTAGCTCTGCTACTTACTACCTGTGTGTCCTTGGGTAAGTGACTTAGAACTGCTGGGCTTCAGTTACCTTAGTCATCAAATGAGGGATTGAGGCAAATTGCTTAACTTTTCTGGGCCTCATGTACTTCCTGTATAAAATGAGGTGGTCAGGTCAGATGACCTCAGAGGTCTCTTCCTGCTCTCAATCTGTGAGGTCCCTTCTGGCTCTAAAACCTATCAGCCTATGGTTAGACTTTGGTGAAGAGATGGCATCCAAGTTATTTCGTTCTTTTTTTCCTTTCCCTCTTCTGATGAGGCTAAATTACTGAAAAGAGATCTTGAACTTGAAAGAAACTGTAAAAAGCTGCTCACTAAAAAGATAGTAATTCATCTGTGTCAGAGTGACAGAAAAAACGGCGGTGGCACGGTCTCAACTTCTGCACATTCTCCTAGGCACTCACTATGTGCGAATATCGCCTCCTGCTAACAGCGGGATGCCAAGTCAGTTTTCAGGTACTCAAAAGATAATTGTGAAATGGGAAGATAATTTAGAATCTTCACATCCCTTCTCCACCTCAACGTCTCTTCAAAATGTACAGATGGGGAAGTGAAAAGAGATCACAGTTCTGGGGAAAGGCTTAGCAAGCTGGAAAATATTGATTGAAATGACATCATCTCTATATTTGTATTACCCAGGCTTTCTCTGTTTCCTATTAGCATGGAGAGCTGGATATAAATGGCATTGGAGGTAATCTCTTGAAGAGAATAGTCACAGAAGAATTTGCTCTCCCTCATCAGGTGGGTTTCTTGCTATTCAATGTGGGTTTGAAGGAGTTTCTTTCCCTAAATTCTTAGAAACACATTTGTTGTCATTCTTGACCTCTGTCCCTTTCATGCTTGCAAAGTCTTCTTTGTCACATAGGCCACTGAGGGTTTAAAGTTCCTGTTAAGGTCTGTTCCATGACCATGGAAATGGCTATGACATAATATTCATCAAACATTTTACAAACCTTAAAGTGCTAAGTAAACGCCAGCTATTATTTGTAGCTGGAATTAAGGGGCAGGGTGGGGAAAATTATTGTTAACTGCCAGGACCAAATTCCCTTTTTGACTTTGTGCCCAAGTACAAGCTCCAGATGTCCTACAATTTTGTATGGAGCTCTGGCATTTTTTAGATGTACAGAAGTAAGTGTAGTAAGCCTGAAATGCACCCTCTATTCCAAAGGAATCAAGTTATTGTTATTTATTATATATTTATCAATTAATGTGAATCAATATCTGACTGACTTTTATTTCCAGTGCTTCCTAGAAGCACTATGAATGAGTCCCTGTGATGCCCCATAGCTCAGAGGACATGAAAGTACCCCTGACTCTAAAAATCCACGAATGATTTCTTTTTTAAGGGCTAACTCTGCCACCACCTGCAAACTGACTCAGCACAGAAAGATGCAGTTTGCAGGTGGTGGCAGTGTCAGCCCTCAAAAAAGAAACCATTCGTGGATTTTTAGAGTCAGGCTTTTTTCACAGAGTTCACAGCTTGGGAGTGATAATGCATCTTTCCAGGTTCTCCGTACTGTAAACTGTTTGAGAAAAGAAATTAACCAAGACCAATATAAGAAGCAGTATGGTATGGCAATAAAACCGCTGGACTTCAGAAGACCTGGGTTCATATTCTAGTTCTATTGTTTACCCGTTCTGTAACCTTAAACAAGTTCCTTTCCCTTTTGTGGGTCTCAGTTTCATCTGTAAAATAAAGGGATTGGCATTTCTACTGTCCTTCTAGGTCTAAACCCAGTGATCCTAAGTAAAATTGAGTCCTTCTATTTTTCTACCTGTGTGCCAGGACTTTGCAGTAATTTTGTACAATGAAGTCACTTGGAATTTCCTTCCAATGTCTGGCTTGTCACCAGTCATTAGAGGTGAACGCTGCTGACCCACCCTTGCCTTCCTGTAGGAGTAGGTATTCACGCTCAGTTCCTAGACTGACATAGGAATACAGGAAAGCTCTGTGTTTTTCCCCTGATTGTGGCCTGGTACATTGCCTTGACTGTTTCTATTTTTCTCCTTACTCAGGAATCACCTCCTGCCCCATCTGCCCATGGACTGGCATTACCAGAGATGTAGCTGAAAATTCCTTTCTCTAGAGTTTCCCTGCTACATATCTCATAATGGCCAGGGTAAGTGGGGATTCAAGGGAAAATAATAAGTTGTCCCATGTAGAATGCATCTCACAGTTTACGCAATCTTATTGTATCTCATTTCATCTCACTTGGTTCTTCTAACAACTCTATGAGGTTGATGGGGCCAGCATTATGATTCCCATTTGGGAGATGAGTACATTGAGGTTCAGAAAGATTATGCAGTTTGCCTAAGACCACGCAGCTAATGAAAGGCAGAGCTGAGATTCAAACCTGTGTTTTCTGACCCTAAACCTTGTGCCACATTGCCTACTTATCTATTTCAGAAAGTTTCTGGGACCCTATTCATCATGACTAAGGTCACTTAAACTAACCAAGGCATGACAGCCAAGTGACTAGTGAGCATATTCCCATAGCTGTCTAAGGGAAAGTAATTGCATAGTCTGCCTTTGTAGTTGGAGGTCCTTTGGGGACAATATTAAGGCATTTCCTTTATTGCCCTGTCAATTCTTGTGCCTAATTTGCTTTTCTCACTCATGAAATTCTCTTACCAAAGAATATTAGTGTTGGACTCTTGATTTCCCTCATGGAAACACATTTATCCATCTGCCCAAACCCATGACCCCATTCATCTTGCTTGTCTCCACCAATCTCCTTCTCCTATTGTTGGTGGAACTATTAAATTGACCTGAAATAACACTGACTAATATGTCTACTGCCCCATTTCTCACTATTGAGTTTCTTATTGTGGATTTACAGTGTCTTTGCTTGTTTTTTTCTTTATGTTTATTAGATGCTCAGATAATGAAGCAATCATTTAGCAAGTAATATGTTAAAAAATCCACATAGGCCTATCCAGAATTTGGATAGGAAGAATCTAGATATTGGTAATGGGAGACATTTTCACCTAACATTTTTTAATAGTTACACAAAAATCAATAGCTTAAAAGAGATTAGAAGGCCATGTCTGATGTGCACAGGTTGCATTGTCTGTTTCTTTAAAACAACATAGGTAGATTTTGTGGCTTGGCAAATGGAAGTTTCACCATATGGGAAAATAAGCCTCCTAGACCACTTTCTATGACTAACTCAAACATCAGTAAACTGGCTCTAAGAGTGACTGAGTCACTTAGCTATAGTCACACAGTTAACAACAACAACAACAACAATAACAGCTAACATTTATAAAGTACTCACTGTGTGCCAGGCACTGTGCTAAGTGCTTTACAGTTTAGGTGGATAAGAGATAGGTGCTGTTATTGTCCCCATTTTATAGATGAGGAAACTGAGGCAAACAGAGGTTAAGTGGGTTGTTTAGTGTCATACATTTAGTAAGTATCTGAGGCCAGATTTGAACTGAACCTGTTTTCTAGGTAGAATATATCCATTGTTCTTTTTACTACACTTTATTTTCTCTCAGGGAGCTTCTCGTTTTGCTATGTAGTCTTTGTCCTGAAAGATATCCCTCATGGGGCTTCAGAGGCCTGGTCTTTTTTGGGCCCTGTGGATTATTCATATTCAAGAGGTATGCATTTTCATTCTTGGGGTTAGTTGGATTGGACAAGAAAGTCAGGGAATGGCAGGTTGGGAAATAAATGATAAAACATCTACTTCTTCCTGTTAGTATTATTTTGCACATATGCTTCAAGTCTTCAGAGGAAATCATCTGAAGTAGAATAATAACCATCCTTGAAGTACACATATACTCCAACCCCTCATGTTGGTCCTGTGACCCAAGCAGAAAACTTTGGATTACAAATAGGAAAAAAAATTAAAACCCCTTTTGGTTATGAGAGACCAAACATCCAGGCTTATTCTCTCCTATGCTTTGCCTTTTGGTTGATGGCCATACCCACTCATCATGTAAGTAAGGTGATTTTTATCAAGTATCATCTGGAAAATAAATGGTTGGTCTGAGAGGCGAATAGAGCTGGTCAGCCAAAAAACCTCTCAGGGCTATCCTAGGCTGCACCACCACACTACACTACCATCCACGTGGCCCAAAGGAGGGAGGTGATAGTTCTTTTGAATGGCGTCTTGGTCAGACTGCGTTGAGATGATTGTGTTGTGGTCACGGGAGCCCTCATTGAGGTTACTGAAGGAGTGCGAAGAAGAGTTAAGGGGACCTAGGTCAAAGCCTTGGGGAATACCCACACTAATGGGAGAGGAGTAAGGAGCCCTGTATGGACGATGAATGTTCATAAAAAACAGTATCCAGCAGAGAGGGCTGTCAGCAGGGCTGAATGCAGCAGGTAGGTCAATAAAGATGAAGACCAAAAAAACCAATCAGATTTTTTTGATGAATATATCATTGGTAACTTTGGAGAGAGTAGTACTGTCAGGCGATGGGGTTGAAACCAAATTGCAAAGGTGAAGTTGAGTGAGAGGAGAGGAAGTGGAGGCAGTGAATGTGTATGGCTTTTTTCCCCTAGGAGTTTGGCTGAGAAAAGGAGAACGGATGTAGGACAGTAGTTTGAGGGGTAGGGTCAAGTGATGGTTTTTTAAGGATGTGGGAGACTTTAAAGACAGTAGGGAAGAACCAGAAGCTAGGGAGAAGTTGAATGTTATTAGCAAGGGAGAAGGCATGATTGAGGCTGTGGTCTCCTGGAGAAGAAAGGATGAGTTGGTCTTGACAAGGAGAAAGGCTATTGTTAGAGACTAGGGGAAAAGGAAGAGGCAGGATGAGGTCAAGGAATTTTGAGATGAAGAGGAGAAGAGAGACCTCATGCTGAAGGGCCTTAATTTTGACAGGAAAGCAAGAGGAAAGATCCTCAGAGAATGGAGGAAGAGTAGGATGCTTGAGGAGAGAAAAAGTGTTTTGGAAAAATTTTTGTGGGAGTTAATGTAAGGAATTACTTAGGGAGAAATAAAAGTATTGTTTTGCTGCAGTTAGGACCCATTTAAAGTTGTATAATGTGAATTTATAATGTACTTTGGGCTAAGAGGGAAGAACCAGTTGGCACAGTTGGGCTTGCCTCTGTCTCTTCAGCAGCATTTGAGTAGGAATGAAGGAAGTTGGTGGTGGTAGTAATCCAGAGGTGATGAGAAGCAACAGGACAAGGGATTCAAGAGGAAAGGATGGTATGCAATTGAATTAGCTAATTATAGGGATAAGATTGTTGATGGAGAGAAGTAAAGTCAGAGCTGGACAAATAGCCTAAGGGTACTATAAGGGTTTAGGAGGGGAGAGCTCTACAGAAGTGGAATGGGCGGGTTTCCTTTCACAAGAGTCTTCAGGCAAGGCCGGATGATGGCTTATTGAAAATGTTGTCGAGAAGATTCTTGACCAAGTAGAGGCTGGACTGGATGTGACTCCTGAAGTTCTTCCCAACTCTGAAATTCTGTGATTCTGGGTCGTTGTTGTTTTGGCCAGTTGTCCACCTTGCCAGCTGACGCAGCTTTGTGCCCCTTACGCTGACAACTCACGTTGGGGAAGGGCTTTTGACAGAAAGTTATCAACTGTTGATTCTTCTCTTTCCAATATTTCTGTGGTTGCTGGTCTTCTATTAAGTTCTTGCTTTGAGAGGAGAAAGTTAAATAGGACAAGGATAACATGTTTTTTGGCACTTCCAAATTCTTCCATGGTATTTCCTCATTACCATATGGCATAGTCACCCCCTTCTGAGCACTCTCTGATTTATCAGTGTCCTTGTTATAGTGTGGTACCCCCAAATTGCACACAGCAGTGCCAACGCAGCCTGATTAAGGCAAGTGCAATGGGATTATCACCCAGTGTTCTTAGCACTGTGCTACTCTTAATGCAACACATGAGCCTATTAACCTTTCTGCGCATTTAGTGTTATTAATTATTGTTGATTTTACAGGCTACTTAACACCCCTCCCCAATGTCTTTTTCAGAAGACTGCTATTTTAGCCACTTTGTACATGTTAAGTTCATTTTTTTTGAAGTAGGACTTTACATTTATCTTTATTTTTTTACAGTTTTATTTACAGTTATCTGTATTTCATTTTCTTCTATTCAGATAATCATTCTTATCTGTTGGAATAGTTTTGGATTCTGATTGTTTTCTGAGTTAGGCTGTCCTCTTAGTTTTATGTAATTCCAAAATTTTATTTAGCATTCCATTTATGCCATCATCCAGATCTCTGGTAAAAATGTGAAATAGCTCAGAATGAAGGACTGATCCCTGGTATGTATTCCACTGAAGACCTTGTGACCTATTGACATTGGCCTATTAATGATTACTTACTCTACCAGCTTTGAATCCACCAAATTGGACTGATAGCTCACTTTTTTTTTGTCTTGTCCACATGGCTAACATAAGATTATGATATCATATACTTAGAGCCAGAAGGAACCTTAAAAGGCATCTTGTCCTACCTACTCATTTTACAGGTGAGGAAACTGTGGCTCAAGAGCCTAAGTGACTTGACCACAGTCACACAGTTAGTGAAAGGAAGCACCTGAATTCTTGTCTAAGATAGAGTTCTCCAAAGTTCCCATCATTTGTATTTCAGCAGCCAATTTTTCCTTGTTAATCAGAAACAAATCTAGAATAGTAGCTCCTCATTATTTTCTTTACTTTTTGAAAGATGAAATTATCACTGACAAGTCAAGAATTTTTTAAGCTACTCTGCTTTTGTCAGAAGGGGAGCTCCAGCAGATGTAGGAAGAAGTGGAAATCTTCCCTGCCTCATCTCTACAGTACATGCCTCTGCTTCTCAGTTGAAGGCTGCTTCCTCAGTTGCCTGTCTCTTTTCTCCCTATGTCCAGGTGGTCTGTAGTAAACTTCCACTACGTCACCTCAGCTTATAGTCCTGATATTTACTCAGGTGCTCCTCACGTGCTTCCCCTTCAGATTTTCTTGTGTGAATATGTACTCTTAATAATACACTGCTGCATAGGCCTCCACCATCCCCTGATGTCTTCTGTTATTTTTAAGTGATACCATTCCAGAGCCACATTCCAGTCAGGCACTGGATAGTATATGGCTGTGGGTATTTATCTCATTTCAGTTATACCTATGAGGTAATAAAATTTACCTTTTCGTATTAAGAATCCTTTTAAAAAGAAAGAAAAAGCAGTACACTTTTCTCTTTGGGGAAGATTTAAAAAGAGTTTTCACATATTTGCCCGCCTCAGTGTTGGAAATTCAGTACATACCTACCTCCATGAAGGTCTAAGGCCAGAAATTCCATATTTTTATCTTTGAGTTGTTCTTAACATTTCAGGCTGAGGAATTCAGACACATTTGTGGGCAGCATTCTCAGGGTTAGGTAGAAGATTGACTTTAGGTTATTTTTTTCACCTTGAGGATTTTGCTCCCGAGTCAGAAACAAAGATCAGACTTAGAAAAGTGTTGTATCTGCCCCTTTCTCTTTAATCACATGGCCACACTGCTGCCAAAGGGACTTTCTTGAAGGACAAGTCTGACCATGTCAGTCTCCTGATCGTCAAGCTGTTATCTCAGAGACTAAATATCTATTCTCCTATCTGATATTGAAAACTTTTCATAACCTGCTCCCAGCCTGTCTTTCCATCCTCATTATATTTGATCCTCAGTCTATTTAAGTTGTCCTCAAGGTTCTTCATCCAGGATAACACTCCATCTCCCACCTCCATGCCTTTGTATAGACTGTTCCCCATGTTTGGAGTGTACTGCCCCTCACCTCTGCCTTTTAGAACCCCTAGTTTCCTTCAAAACTCAGCTCAGAGATACCTTCTACAGGAAGTCTTTCTTAATTCCCCCTAGCTGCTGGTGCCTGTTTCCCCTGCAAAGAATTATCTTGTGTTTATTTTACATGTATATTTTCTGTATATTTTTATGTGTACATGTTGTGTCTCTGTAAAGTGTGTAAGCTCCTTAAGGGCAGGGACTATTTGATTCCTGCCTTTTGTATCCCTAGCACCTCTCAGAGTGCCTAGCACATAGTAGGCACTTAATAAGTGCTTCTTGACTGCTCAAAATACAGCCTGTGGTGGAGTATGGAAAAGCTATCTCAGAGTCAGGAAGCCCTAGCCCCTGGAATTAATGGGCTGTATGACTCATCAAATATTGAGCCTCTCAGTGCTCCGGGTAACTGACTCTCTAAGGCTGTGGATCTCCTCCACCAATGTGCCCCTCAGACCGAGGACAGAAAGCTAGCATCCTAATTAAATTGTGCATCCTAAAAAGATTGTGTTGTACTTTCTAAATGTCAGTTTCTGCTGCTACTACAGTAGCACTGGTGTGTTTTGGTTTCTGTTGGTTGGGTTTGATCATCTTTCTTCTACCAGTTATACAGATCCTGATACAGTCTCAGTAATACGTCTCCTCTTCTCCCAAGACCCCAGGCAATACTGTCCACAACATCCATAGTGTCAGGGGCAGATCCCAGATTACAAAGCCTGTTTACAGACAGTCCCCATGCTGTAGACACAGACTAGACATGGACAGCCACAATGATAGGGCCTTCACAGTCATAGTTGCAGTGAACTAAATAATGCGTCACCCCCAAATCTATGAGCCTGTGATCCTGTTTCCCAACCTCTCCCCACACATATGTTAATGACACAGTGGTACAGCCCCAACATTTCAGCACTGCTCTTCTGTTCCTGCACTGGAGGAATACAGCCGCTGCCCCACAGCTGCCCACAGAAGCCCTAGTGTAGCCTCCCCCCACTGGTATAGCCAGCTCATGAGCTCTGGATATCCTCAGCCCCGCCAGCACCTGTATCAGAGCCCCCAAAACATGCCTGCCTCATGGCAAACACCGGCACAATGGGCACAGGGAGGAAGGGGCCCCCTCCAGGGCACTTTGGTTCTCTTCTCTCAGCATGGTGCAGAGGAGCCCCAGCCCCGCCTCCTTGGGCTAAGATGGCTCTCAGTTAATTAACATGCAGCATTTGATCTCTTAAGGAGGGAACATCATAGCTGCTCTTTGGAGACAGACACTTGTAATTATGTGGACATTTGATTGCATTGCTTCCTTTCTTCTCTTCCCCAACTCCCTCCTTCCACCCTGTTCAGAGCTGCTCCGAGTGCAAGGAGAAGAGGCCAGCACACATTCTCTGTACCTACTGCAACCGATGGCTGTGCAGCTCTTGCACCGAGGAACACCAGCATGCCAAGGACATGGCAGACCATTTTCTTTCCCTAGCCCAGAAGGGATCTTCAGGTACTAATGCTCAATCTGCTCCACTGCCCAGGCCCAGGAGTGACTGCCCTAGTTGACCCCAGGGCCCTTCTTCCAGAACCCTAGGTTGGATAGAGACATTTACTAGCTGGGTGATCTCTCTGTGCCTCGGTTTCCTTATTTGTATAGTTTTGATAATAATAGCTCCTACCTTACAGGATTGTTGTGAAAATCGAATGAGTTAACATGTGTAAAGCACTTTGCAAACTTTGAAACTCATATAAATGCTTGCTATTAATAGCTCCTATTTGTGTAGCACTTTAAAGTTAGCAAAGTACTCTTCTCACAAATAGCTTTACGAAGTAGTTACTGCAGTTATCATTAGACCCATTTTACAGATGAGTAAATTAGGGTTCTGAGAGGTTATCTGAGGCAGGATTTGAACACTGATCCCAGGGCCAATGCTATCATCGCTATCCTACAGTGTTCTTAAGTTCCCAAGGGGCATGGCATGTCCTAGGAGCACCAGGGACATCTAGCCAGCAGACAGTGTGGTCAATATAAAGTGGCCCAGGGCCTTCTCAGTGTGCTTAGGCCACACAGGGTCCATTGAATGAAAGACATATTCTTTTCCACCTGCCTAGAGTAAATTATTCTTCTCGTAAGGGGGAACAGGCTATGATTCTTTCTGTGTTTGCTAATTTAATGACTGTCCCTTGCTGGGCAACCCCTCCCTGAATGCTGTTGCTGGGGTTAGGCAAGGTTTTGAGCTCACAGCTTCCCTTTCTCAAGAAGTGTTGGTATTCTATGTCAACTCCATCAGAAACTTTGTATTTGGAGGTGTAGCCCCTTTCTTTTCTTGGACTTCTTGTGTGTACCTCTGAGGGCAAGGGAGAGTTTAAAAACCCTAGAATGTTAGAATTGAATGAGACCTTCCAAGAGGCAGCCAGGTTGTGATAAAAGAAACTCGCTGAATTTGGAGTCAGAGAAGCCCACTGCAAGTCTTGCCTGACTAGCTGCATGACCTTGGGCAAATCATTTGAATCTTTCTCATTTCAGTTTACTCTCTTGTAATCTGGGGGCAGCTAATAAATCTCATTGGATTGGTTTGAGGATAGGAAATGTTTGTTGTTTGTTGTGATAATATATGTGAAAGACCTTTAAATGTCAGATATTGTAACTCTGAAGGAATTAGGGCCTCAGCAAATCAGTCCCGGAGGGGCTCTAGAGGTCATCTCCACCAGTGGTGTCAAACACAGTGACCTAGAAAACCACAAGTCAGCATTATCTAGGTTGTATTATATTTTTTATTTATTTTAGAAAACATTTCCTGATTACATTTTAATCTGACTCCACCACACTCCAGAGCTTTGCAGTGGGGAATAGAACACCTCTGATCTAGACTAGCTCCTTCATTTTAAAAACAAGGAAGCTGAGGCCTAGAGATGTTAAGTGACTTGTCCAAGGTCACACAAATAGTGCATAGCCAAGGATTTTTTTCCCATGGTACCACAGCTACTTGTGCAAGGTAACGTGCATTTTTTGCCCATTTCTAGGAGTGAGAATAGGTGCAACAGTGGCTGGCCACCCAAAATGTCCATCCTCTGGTTTGACATTATTGCAATTTGTCTAGCCAGCTTACTCCTGACTTTTACTTACTTTGTTATTGTTATTGCTATTGACTCAACATGACTCCATAGACTTTGTCCATGGGTTTTTCTTGGCAAAGATACTGGAGTGGTTTGCCATTTCCTTCTCATGTGTCCTCATTTTACAGGTGAGGAACTAGACAAACAGAGGTTAAGTGACTTGCCCAGGGTTACATAGCTATTAAGTTCCTGAGGCTGGATTTGAACTCAGATCTTCTTGACTTCAGGCCCCATGTTCCACCCACTGCACCACCTAGCTGCCCCCTAATCCTGGCTAGTTCTCTCCATATACCAGATAATAAGCTATTCCCTGTGGAGATGATCCTATTAGATTTCAAGGTCCTTGAAGGCAGGGACTGCCATTTTCTGCTCTGTGTTCCCCATGACAAGCATAGTGCCTACATGCAGTGGGTGTTTAATGAATATTGGTAGAGTTGAATTTGTTGTTGAACACTATCTTGATTCATATCATGTCCAGTGAAAAGTATGATGCACATGGGTTCATAGTAAATGCTTTTGAGCTCCCTGAGGGTAAATGAAATGCCTGATTACTCTTCCTGCCAAGGGGAGGGCCCTGCTCTGTCCTGCCCCAGTGGGACCAAGTCCTAATCCTCCTGAATCCTTCCAGACTTATGGGAGTAGTTCTAGGTGTGATCACTTGTACAAGCACTGCCAGCTGCTCACATGGTCAAATAAATGACCTTGGTTCCAAAAAAGACAGAGCTTTGTGTCCACAGGAGCTCAGCTCCACTAATTGTGCACTTAGGCTATCCTAGTCATGGAGGAATATCACTAAGCTGTTGCATTGGCCTGGGCAGATAGCGTGGCTCTTGGAGAGGACAGGCACAAGCATATTGTCTGCAGAACAGTGGCGTTCCCAGAGCTAAAAAGGACCTTGTAGAACATCTAATTCAATCCCTATGCTATAGTCCAGCTTACTTGGATAATAGACATAGCAGATGCAAGTCACTTAGAGTAGATCTGCCTGGAAGGTGGGCTGGGGGGTGGCTAGCTGTCGAACCTGTTTGTAGGGGGAAAAAAGGAAGCATAGCTAAGATTACGTGGTTTCCTTTTGCATCTTTGTAATGAAGCTTGAGATGCCAGTGTACAAGTTATAGAGGCTTCTGAGGTTTTCTTTTCTTATGTGTTGGTGCTCAGACCACAGGATGAAGGCTTTTTTTTTTCTATTTTCTGCCCCAAAAGAAAACATTTGTCTTTTCTCTATCCACTGGCATCTGTATAACCATTTCAAAAATGGTTTATACCTTTAAGCAGCTACAAGCTACCACGTCCTCAGCATAGCAGTGATAGTGTGAATGTGATGTAGTGGGGAAGAAAGCTGGATTTGGAGTTAGATGACCTGGGTTTGAATACTGCTTTTGGTAGTTACTACTTGTGACCTTGGGCAAGTCACTTCCTCTTTATGTGCTTCAGTGTCCTCATCTGTAAAATAAGGGGATTGGAAGAGGTAAACTCTATGGTGCCTTCCAGCTCTAAAGCCAGGGGTGGGGAACTTGCAGCCTCTAGGCCACATGTGGCCCTCTAGGTCCTCAAGTGTGGCCCTTTGTCAAAGATCCACACTTGAGGACCTAGAGGGCCACATGTGGCTTCGAGACTGCAGGTTCCCAATGCCTGGGTCCTAGACTATAGTGTCTCCTGGGTTCAGCCTCTAACCAAGGGCTGTGGGAAAAGAAGGCGAATATTGTACTTCTGCCTACAGGAAGCTCATCATCATTATCATCATTAAACTGTAAGATCATTTCTCCTTTGAAAATTTCAGATGCAAAGAATTGGTCATTAGGATTTGAATATACCTTGGCCAGGCCCGCTATGCCAGGGCACGGAATGTTTGGCTCTCTTAATTCAGTATCTGGCACATTGTTATAGTTCATTATCTCTTTTTCTTTAAAACTGTTTAATTCTCATTCTAAAATTCATTATCACCATGCAAAATAATAACTAGTACACAATGTTTTATAATTTTAATGTCCTTTACACATGTCATCTTGTTTGATCTTCATAGCAAAGCTGTTGTTGGTCAGGTCATCCTTATTTTAGAGATGAGGAAGCAGAGGCTCAGAGAGAAGTGCCTTGTTCAGAACGACCCAGGCAATGAATGCAAGAGCCCAAGTCTTTGACCCAAAATTCAGTGCTGTCTGTCCACGGCATTCATATGCTGTCTTGCATTATCTTCTCTCAGAAAAAGGGACAGTTTGCTCTCTATGCCTATGCCTATGTGACTTTGTTAGGGACAAGTGAATGACCAGCTGCCATTTTTCCTTTGTTGTGAATATAAGCTGATCACCTGTGCTTTTCTCTTCTTGTATGTACATGTATACATGCAAATATGGGTATATTGTCTTCAGAATTAGAATGCAAGCTCCTTGAGAGCAGGACACTGCTAATGAAATAGCATCCATGTTTTAATTTTTTTCTTTATATTCCAAGACTTAACACATAGTAAATAAACCTTATTAAATGCTTGTTGATTGATTAAGAAGAGTAGTTTTTTCTCCATCAGCCTGAATGTTTGGCACATTATTTAAAATCAATAAAAATGATTATATAAGACTTGGGTTCAATTCCCATCCCACATACTTACTAGCTATGGGGTCCTGGGCAAGTCACTGGACCTCTCTGTGCCTTAGATTCCTCATCTATAAAATGGGGTGGACTTGATGGCCTGTAAGGTCCCTTCTGGCTCTGAATCTATAATTATCTGTTCTCCATCAATATCCATGGTACCAGTAAGTGTCTGTTAAACTAATAGACAGAAAGGTGGGTGGGGATTCAGTGCTTTGTCATACATAGGATGCACTTGGGAGTTATTTGTTGAGTTGAACTGAATTCTCCATGACCTCTCCTGGTCTACACAGACTTCTCCCACAAGTGCATCATCTTCTTTTTCCCTAGTTGGTCTCATTCCCAAATCTCCCATCATCCATTGCTTCTCCATCATTTGCCTGTACACTCAGGCTGAGAGGAGGTAGCATGGTGTTTTGTAGAAAGATCATTGGATTTGGGTCTGATCATCTGAAATTAGTTTCTTACTCTGTGTGACCTTGGTCAAGTCTCTTGACTTCTCCAGGCCTTGGGTTGGACTAGATGATCTCTAAGGCTCCTTATAGCACTATCCTTTATGCCTATAGATTCCTCCAATATCTGCCTATGCTCAGCCTAACATTAACTACATGCATCCTAACTACCTCATCACTACCTGTACTCACCTTCTCTCCCTTTCTAAGACTTATTCACTATATGCTCATAATTCACTTGTCACCTGGTTCATGGGTGGGGAACCTGTGGCCTTTAGGCCACATGTGTCCTTCTAGGTCCTCAAGTGCAGCCCCTTGCCTAAATCCAAACTTGGACTAGGTCAAAAGGCCACACCCAAGGACCTAGAAGTCCACATGTGGCATTGATGCCACAGGTTCCCCACTCCTGACCTAGTTCCTTACTCTGTGTACTTATCCCTAACTCTCCTTCTTTTCCTACCTCTCTACCATCTATATTAACCCCTAAATCTACTCATCCATCTGCTTATAGAGAAGGTTTGTGTTATGTATTCATTCACCTAACAGACTCATTCAATGTTTATGTCATTGCTTGCCATCTGTGCTCCTGTTTGTTTTCCTACTTCTGACATTTGTTGTAAACTGTTACATGAAATGTAAATAGATTTCTAATAGGTGCTTTTTGATGACTTTACTGATTGTACCTGGTCCTGTATTAAGGAACTGTCCAAGATTTCACAAATGGAACACTTCTCTTTTTTTCAAGAGTTTGAATGCCCCTGGGGATAACTGTCACTGCTTGGAAGGTGGGCTAACATTTGTCAAAACTGTGTAAAAAAAAGCTGCAATCTATGGGCTTCTCCATCATCATCATGGGTGGAAACCTCTGGAAATCTTGATGGTTTGAGGCAGTTTTTTGCTTGAATTTTATTTTTTTTTAGGCAATTGGGGTTAAGTGACTTGACCAGGGTCACACAGCTAGTAAGTGTCAAGTGTTTGGTCTGAGGCCGGATTTGAACTCGGGTCCTCCTGACTTCAGGGCCGGTGCTCTATCCACTGCGCCATCTAGCTGCCCCTTTTGCTTGAATTTTAGAGGATACTTTTCTTCTTAAGTGGGAGTGAATGTTGCCTTTACTTCTTTTGAGGCTCAATTTGGTTTCTTTCTGGGTGTACCTTTTCAATCCTGCCTTACAATTTGGCTCATTCTTCTTGTGTGTAGTATGCAAGGGTCCTAGCCATGTTTTCTAGAAGGAGCAGGACCCATAATTCCCTCTAAATCTTCCCAGAACTTCACTGTTCTGTAGTGGTGGAGGAACTTCAGTCCTTCTTTCTCTTCCCTTTGAAAGCAGATCTCTTCCCTCAAGCCCCAAGGCTCTGGAATGGCTTTTGCTGATGTTTTCATCTCAGCTGAGGGTTAGTTTTCACTGGGTTAAGGTAGTTTTCCTTTTCTTCTCTTGTAGGAATGGACAGTGGGTCTAGTGACTCCTTGTACTGCCCATTGCATGGTCAAGAGATTCTCAAGTTGTTCTGCGAGAACTGTGATGTCCTCACATGCCACAGCTGCTTGATGATTGACCACAAAGATCACAGGTATTGATGGGAATGACTCTGGACTCCTTAGGCAATCACTCTCAATTTTCTCATCATTAAGACCAGGGAAAGAACAAGCAATATAAATCTCCATATTATACAACTTCACATTTTATTCTCTCCATCATAATAGCTATTAGGGAACACATACATAGAGAATATAGAATCCATGGACTCACATAATGTTGAAGCTAAAAATACCTCTCTAGATCATTTAGTTGGATCTCTCATTTTATGGTTGAGGAAACTGAGTCCCAGATAGAGTGAGTGACTTGACCAAGGCCACACAGTAAGTTTCTTAATTCCTAATCTAAATATCTTTCTACTCTACCATCCTGTCCCTCCTCCAAACAGACTAATTAACATTTAACATCTTCCTCCTGACTAAGGCTGTCCTCTAACAAAGCACTGAAAATGACTAAAATGGAGCAAGGAGGAGAAAGAAAAAATAGAAGCAAAAGGGCCTTGGATGGTCCTGAATCGAAGCATTAGGCTTTGAATATTTGGGAGTTTGCTAAAACATACTGGGAAATAAGGAAATACCTATAACCTGAGCAGAAGTGGATCCAGGGGATACCCAGGAGGTATTTTGTCTTCCTTCAGATCCATTGTAGGGCATTCTACAATTCCCTAACAGTATAGTACACAGTGTTGCCTCTTTTATTCAGGTGCAGGCATGTAGAAGAGGTTTTGCAAAACCAAAGAATGCTTCTGGAAAGTGTGACCACTCAAGTGGAGCATAAGAAAACTGGGTTACAGGCTTCTGCTAAACAGATTGAAGACAGGTACCATTTTTTGTTCATCCCATTTTAGTTTTAATGGAGGTGGTGGGACATCTCTGGTCACTATATTCAACTCATCCCTCTCCTGATATGCCCTCCATAGATCATCAGACTTCATGCTTATCCAAAGGAAAAGGAATCAGTGAATGATACAGACCATAAATTGGGTAAAATTTCAGTGAATTTGGATCTAGGTATTGATGCTGTGTAGGCAGGGCCCTTGTGCACATGTGTGTTCTCCCAGATTTTGTCTACACTTGTGCCTGCCTAAGTATTGGAGGTCATCCACACAGCCAAAAACCTTTTGTGCTAAGTACCACGGTGTTGGGGGGCTACTGAGTAGGCCATTCTACCTATCTACAGGGCTTAGGCAATCATTTGCCAGGTATCAGGAGTTATTGCAATAGATAGACAAGCCTCACCTGTTGCTGATTTTCCTATTAGCCTCTCTGACCATCTTATCTTGCTAAGGTTATCCAGGGCACTGTGCTCTCTGTATTCTTATTGGCAGGACTGTGAGAACCAAAGGACAGGTTTGGGACTTACTCTCTTCCCTCTTCTCTGGCCCTGCTCAAGGTTAGGGACTTTGGTCAGTGGCTTTGTGCTCCTCAGAGTAGGGTCTTATGGGAATTCCCACTGGGGTGTGGTCTTGTCTTAGTGGCATCACCAGCATGTCTCCATGATGAGGTAGAGTGATCTGAGACTAGGTCATAGTGGAATAACAAAGGGGAGAACCAGCCTTCCCTCTCAGTCATGAAGTTAGAAAACCCCATTGTAGGCATCTGATAGCCAGCTCTTTGGCTGCTGATTAAATAAGACCTAATAAAGTAAAACTCCAAGGTAGGAACAAACCCCAAAAAGACTAGATGCCTTGGATCCTTGTGTTTCCAGAAGGATGGCAAGTGAACAGGCTTTAGTCAGGTGCCCTTCTGTGGTAGCCTTCTCATAAGCAAGTCTAATTATCAATTCAGGGTAATTCAGGGGAGATTGTTACTCATCAGAATGCATCCTTCATATATATATATAAATAGATATAGATATAGATATCTTCCATTTCCTCTTCATACCCTGAAAGTGATCCTGGGTGATCCTGGGCAGGAGACAGACTGTCTGTGATCTGACGACTAGCTTAGGTTGGCGTTATTATGTTGGCCACAACATAATGAATGCTTTCTGCACCAGTAACTCATGAAGACCATTTCCTAAGGCAGAGAGGGGCAATGATCTGGGTTGGGGAAGGGATTGCCCATACTGATGAAATCACAGATTGTTGAATTTTTCTTAGAATAGATTTTAGAAGGTGTATTATGCAAGTAGGAATCCACCCTTTTGACAGAAGAACAAACTCAGATAGGTGAAGTCCTTGGTTGTACAGTGAATTTACCCAATTTGTTCAGCATTCAACAAACACTTGTACTACTTGACTACTATATACAGAGCACTGTGATAAGCAGTGAGAGAGAAACGATGTTTCGATAAAACAGTTTCAAAGATCATGGATCACGTAGTACTATAGGGCATGAGACACATAAAGATAACTGTAGGATTATATGGTTCCTAACACCATATTATGTAATGTATCAGAGAGTTAAAAACTAAAGTACTACTATATGAGGGCTGAGGGGGGTAGTAGTTACCAAGGAAGGAGATCAGGGAAGGCTTCATGGAATTAGAGGTCAGAGTTGGTACTGAAAGTTTTTTCCCTACACCAGCCTACCTCTCAAGTGTATTATTCTTAAGGTGGAATGACTCCCTCTTAATTCATGTGTTTTTTGGTAGAACATTGAATTGACTTGGCTTAGAGTTTGGGGTTCGTTTGAAAGTCTTGTTGTACTTTTCATCATTGGTTTGCTGATCAAGTAGGATGGTCCCCATGCAAGGCATTGTAGATAAACACCTTTTGAAGTTTGGGAATAGAACAATGGCTGTGGGTTTTCTCATTAAAGGAAATTCTTGAGTTGGTGTCTGACTTTCCCACCTGGTAGGCTACACAGTCTGTTAATTTTAGCATTTAATTTCTCTTGACTGATCCTCTGACAAGTGATGTATGCCCAGGGAGAAACAAGACATTTGAAGCACATTGTAATATGCTTTGTTCTCCTTTGCAGGCTGTTTGAAGTCAAGCATCTTCACAGGAAAGTGGAAAACCAGATCAAAATGGCCAAGATGGTTCTGATGAATGAATTAAATAAGCAAGCCAATGGGCTTTTGGAACAGCTAGAGGTATGTGTAACGTGAAGATGATCTGAGGGGTCACTGTCCCTGATACCTGTCTTCTGCTAATAATCACACTAACTCACATTTCTGTGGTGCTTTATATACCTCCCTTATATTTGTTTACCAACATTTGTACTTATAAATATTATCTTATTGGAAAATGAAGCTCAGAGTGGTCATAGGATCATAGATTTAGTCCTGGAAGGGACCTTCAAAGCCATCAGATCCAACCCTGTTTTATGGGTGAGGAAATTTAGGCCCAGAGAGGTTAAGTGATTTGCCTAGAGTCATACAGTTGGTTAGTGTCTGAGGTAACATGTGCTCTTAGGTCATCTTGACTCCCAGTCCAGGGCCCATCCACTGTGCCATGCTGATGTGACCCAGTGTCATATAGCTACTAACCTAGATTTGAAATTCAAATCCTGGATTTGAATTTAGGTCTCCTATTATAAGGTTAGTCATCTATCCACTACATTGTATTAGTTGTTTGGGGAGAGAAGGGCTAAAAAGACACTTGCAGGTCTCCTAGGGGCTCATAGCATTGTTGGGAAACAAACATTTCAAACTTGAAATGACTAGAGGACAATTACAAATGTGAGCCTGTGAAGTTATTGTTGACAAACTATGTTGGTAAGTGCTCAGGAGATCCTGGAATATGGCTAGTTATGGAAAGCTTTTTGGAGCCACATATAAAGGCCATACTTGACACTATTGCTATAGAGGTATTAGAAAGTGTGTGGAAGGCCTTTGGCATGTAGATGAGGATAGAGTTGAGAATCACTGAAATGTTTGCAGAAAATGGCTTGATTCAGTTGGAGCTTTTATAAAAGGAGTAGGGATATGAGTAGGGAAAGAGACGAGAGCCTTTAGTGTCTACACAGGCTCACTCTGTATAAGCAGAATGAGGATGTGGAGGTGGTGGAGGTTCCTACAAAGGCTTTATTTTCTTATAGACGTGGTCCACATAGAGCCAGAGAGAGGGTTTGTTTGGCCTTATTTTGTGCTAGGACTAGCCAGGCCAGCTCAGTGATTCAGGATCAGGATTGGAACACAGTGAAGTACTCATGGACTATAAAATTCAATAAAGATGCTCTTTATTACTCTCCTTCAACACCATAACTGTATGGACAGACTTTCTTGCAGGGCAATGGGAATTCCACTAAATCTCTGGCACACATTTCCTATCCTGAGTATTCCCCTTCTAGGAATAACCCAGAGTAATTTGTCCAGCAAGAGAGCACATGACTTCCTCTATACCAGGGAATGCCTACCCTACCCCTGACTAAATGTCCCCTTCACTGAAACATAGTTTTGGGCAAATGGTTTTCTCCTGCTGTGCACTTCAGATGTATTTTAAGCTGCCAGGCTAAACCTTGAAGCTTGGTTATCTTGAGCATAGATTGACAGTTCCTTTCTCCTCTCTTACATTGTGAATACATTTGAAAAATCATGGAGAATGGGAGAGGTACCACAATGTTAGAGAAGGGCAAATTTCTAATTTTCAAAAAAAGGAAGAAAACAGTGCCTATAGATTAGAGGCCAGTGAGTTTGACTTAGATTCCTGGGAAAATTCTGGACAGATCATTAAAGAGATGGATACATCAGAATTAAGTGATTAACAAGGCGGCATCAAGAAAAGGTCATGCCAGACTAGCCTGGTCTCCTTTTTCAGCAGGCTTACTAAACTGGTAGATGAGGGTAATGTTGTGAGTACAGTTTACCTACACTTTAGCAAAGCTTTTGATAAAGCATCTCCTACTACCTTTCCGAGAAGATGGAAAGATATGAGTGAGATGATAATATAATCAGTTGGATTCAGGTTTGGTTGGATGACCAGATTCAGAGAGTAGTTGGTAATGGTTCAGTGTCAGTGTGGCAGGAGGTCTTTAGAGGAAGGCCCAGGGATCTGCAGTTGGCCCCAACCACCTTTCAGACATCTTGAACTGGATGTCCAATAGACATCTGAAACTCAATATATCCAAAACATTATCTTTCCTTCAAACCATCCCCTCCTCCTTCCCTGTTACTGTAGAGGAAAATACCATCCTCCCAGTCCCTTGGGCTCGAGACCTGGAAGTCATCTTGGACTCTTCACTAGCTCTCATCCTAGGCCTGTCAATTTCACCTGTGCGACATCTCTCATATAGACCCTCTCGTCTTCTCTGACACTGCCACCCTTCTGGTGCAGGCCCTCATCACCTCACACCTGGATTATTGCAGTAGCTGCTAGTGGGTCTGCCTGCCTCAAGTCTCTCCCTACTTTAGTCCTTTCTCCACTTAGCCACCAAGTGGTTTTCCTAAAACTCAAGTCTGATCATGTCACCCTCACTACTCAATAAATTTCAATGTCTCCCGGTTGCCTCTAGGAGCAAATAAAAAATGCTCTGTTTGGCATTCAAAGTCCTTTATAACTTAGCCTCTTTCTACCTTTCCAGCCTCCTTCTACTCCCCGCCAAGCACTGTTCAGTCCAGTGACACTGGCCTCCTGTCTGCTTCATGAACAAGATACTCCATCTCTTAGCTCTGGGCATTTTCTCTAGTTGTCCCTCCTGCTTGAAATGCTCTTTCTCCTTCTTTTTGACTGCTGACCTCCCTGGCTTCCTTTAAGTCCCAACTAAAATCCCTCCTTTTGCTAGAAGCCTTCCCCAAGCCCTCTTAATTCCAGTACCTTCCCTCTGTTAATTATTTCCTACTTTGCTTAGTATATATGTTTGCATTTTGTCTTCCCCGTTAAGCTCCTTGCGAGTAGGGACCGTCTTTTGCCTCTTTTTTGTATCCCTAGCACTTATTACAGTGCCTGAAACATAGTAGACAATACATACATCCACATGTGGATGCATTTGTTACACTAAGTCCCTACATGCAGGGCACTGGGGATAAAAACACAAAGAATGAGACAATGCCTACTCTCAAGGAGCTTTTAGTCTAACACAGACATTTTTATATTCTCTCTCGGTCCTATTCTTCTTCTGTTTATTATTGTTATACAGTACCCTCAACTCCGAACATTTGCACTTGCCCTGTAGTTTACCCCACGCATCAGTTGTTTGTCAGTAATCTTGGAATACAACCCAATTATCTGCTGTCTGTTTTCTTTTTTAATGCTAGGGACTCACCAATGAAAGGAAGCAGAAACTGGAGCAGCAGTTACAGAGCATCATGGTCTTAAATCGCCAGTTTGAGCATGTGCAGAACTTCATCAACTGGGCAGTCTGCAGTAAGAACAGCATCCCCTTTCTCTTCAGCAAAGAACTGGTAAGGGAGCTCCCAGCCCCTGGCCCTGCCCCTGCCCCACCTCTGCCCCAGGCCCTACAAACCCCACCCCACCCCTCCCTTTCATCTTAATTTTATCTTCTGGGTTCAAACAAATCAAGTGTAGTTCTTTTTCACCTTTATAGCCCTTGAACAGTCTGAAGGCCCTGATTATGTCCCCAAAAGTCCCTTTGCTCTTTTGTTCATCTCCAGTCTTCTGAACATCTTTTCATCATCCAGGAAGCTTCTAGTGCCTAGTCCAGTGCTCTTCCTACTACACCACTTTGCCTCTGCTAGTGGAATGGTTTCCTGGGAAGCTGGGGACTAGAGCACCATTCCAAACTTCAAGAGTTTGGGGGATTTAGCAAGAAGAGATTTCTTTGGCCATAGTGTGGGCGCATGGGGCAGCCCCTCCACAAAGTCCTTCAAGTCTTTTCACTACTACTTAGCTTAAAAGGATGTCCCACTGCCTAGCTGTGTTCTTCTCAGTGTACTGGTTACAATGCTTGACTGCCCTTTGAGATCTCAGAATGAAGACTGCTTACAGGAACACTGATTATTAGGACAATCTCACTGCTTATTTTAGCTAGTCCAGGTCACACACACACCGGGCTTTTACCTCCTAGCTTCTTCTTACCATTACCCCCGTTCACTGAGCTGGTGAGTTCTCTGTTGGACCCCCTTGCCTCCTGATGGAAACTGCTCTTAACATGGCCACATCAACCCCAACCTCAGTGTTTCTCTAGGATTCTGGCCACAACATTTCCTGTAACTAGACTTGATGGCAGGATAGCTCAGGACAAGGTCCAAGAGAGGCTTTTCTTATCTCTCTTTACTCAAGCCTTCTTCATGCTTTATGAAACCAGCTTGCTTCATCTCTACTTTACTGCCTTTGCTTTTCTAAGTTACTAGGCTGCACAGTATTCACCATCCATATTTCCAGGTCTCATTGCCTTCTTAGTACAGCATTATAACAAACAATATTATATTTAAAAACCAATTACATTGTGATGGTTCTGATCCTAGGAAATACCCATATTTCTTGTGGAGTAGTTTTTTTTTTTTGCAAAAAAGCAAAAATGGGAGGTTTTTGGTGTGCAGCAATGGGAAGCCAGAGGGGCCTTTTAAAAAAAGGAGGAAAAAATAGAGAAGTGGAACATAAATCCATAATTCCTGAGTCTTTGCATCTTGTCTGATCTTCAGACAGAAGTGAGAGTCTTCTTCAAACATTCCTGTCAAGGCAGAAAGCCTTTATTCTGAACAAGGATTCTAGAATCATAGAAATCAACACTGAAAAGGACCTTAGAGGTCATCTAGCTTAACTACTTTACAAGAATAAGGCTGTGGCCTAGAGATGGGAAGGGACTTGCCTAAGGTCACACAGATAGTAAAGAGCAGAGCTGAAATTAGGCCTCAGGTCAAAAAATCATAGACTTTCCGATTTGGAGGGGACCATCTATCCTGAGCCTTAAGAATCTCCCTACAAGATACTTCACAAAGTGGTCATCCAATATTTGTTTGAAGACCTCCAATGAAAGGGAACTTGGAATCTCCTGAGGTAGGCCATGCCACTTTGGAAAAGTCATAGGTGTTAGGATAGTTTTCCTTATATCAAACCTACGATTTCCTCTGTGTATTAACATTCCTTTAATAATATGTTCCTAGGAATTGAAGTAAAGCTTCTTAACTTATAGTTTGCATATTCTATTATCTTCTTTTCTTGAAAATTGAAACAATATATGCCTGCTTTCAAGTCCTTTGGGGTGAGAGACAGCATGATGTAGTGGATGGAGAGCAGACCTTGGAGAGGGGAAGACTTGGGTTCAAGTCCTGCCTCTGACAGTATTGACTCTAAGATACCCAGACAAGTCACTTAACTTCTCATTGCTCTAGGCAACTCTCTAAGACTGTAGGTTGAAGAGAAGGTAGAAAAAAAAGCCTTCACCTGGACTTCCCCACCCTATTGACGATACAGGTCTAATCCCAGTCCTCATCCTCAAACCCTGTGGTGCCTCTTATTCTCTACAATCTTGCAAAAATCTCTGACAGTGGCTTAACCATCACATTTGCATATTCTTTCAGAGCCCCAGGAAAACTCACTAAGGGAGGTGCTATCTCACTATCTCCCTGATTATCTTGGTATCAACTCCTTATTAGCTATTTTTGTTCTATCCCTTCCAGTTCATTTTCATTGGCACAGAATACAGAAACAGAGTTGAGTAGCTCTTTTTTCCCACTTTGTTCTCTGTTATCACTGACCCACCCATCTTTCTCTTTTCCAAACAGCCAAAAATAAAAACCTTATTTCCTTAGTTTTCCACACCAATCTCAGTCCAGCTTTAGCATTCTTGACACTGTTAAGAAAGGTGCTATATTTTTATATTTATCCTCCACTAGTACCTGCACTTGTTTCTATCTTCCGTGCATGCTTTTAACAAAATCTAAATTGGATGATATAGATGCATATAGACTCTTTAGATGACTTTTCCTTTTTCATTTGGATTTGTTCTTCACACTTTGTGTCTTTAGAATTTTATCGCTGAAAACTTGCTATCCTTTCTGGGCCAACTTAACGTGTAGACCCTACTTAATTTTTCTTTCTCTTTAAAGCCTTTATTGATACTTTTTACGCTGCTGTGATTGCCTAATACCCTTGCTCTCTCCCCAACTTGCAGAGAATGCTCCCTTGTAACAAAGAAGTACAGTAAAGTCCCCACAACAACATATGGACCATATCTGACAGTTCTCTGATGTGCTCTTCTCTAAGGAGATTCATTTCACTTCCTGGTTACCTTTCCCCCAGAACGCTCTTATGAGTTTGATAATTTTACTTTGCTCTTGCATTTAAGCATGAGCTTCCTCTGGTGGCCCTGGACTCTCATGGAAGTTAAGGACCTTCATTTGTGTCCTTGAAGTCTATGAAAATGACCCTCTGGTTCCTTGTCAGATTGTGTTTCAGATGCAGCGTTTGCTGGAGACGAGTTGTAACACAGATGCTGGTCCGCCCTGGAAGATCAGGTTTACATGGGAGCCTTCCTTCTGGACTAAACAGCTGGCGACCTTAGGTTAGTCAGAAGCAGACCAGTCTTGTTGTTAAGAATGGCTTTGTGGCCCATTAGGGAACTTTTTCCTCTTGTTGTCCTCTAACAATTGATCAAATCATTGGTGGGTCATTGCTCATAAAAAAAAAAAAGACCCTTGGTTTGGCTTATAGGTCAAGAGGCTTCTAAAACACCTATGATTAATAACAGTCAGGCAGTCTCTTTTTAAGCTGATGGGTTCATTATTCAAAGCACCCACTGGAGCCTGAATATTCTCTTGGCACCCTGGACCATTTTGGTTTCAAAATCCCTGTAGAGACCAGAAAGTCACTTGGTTTTCTCCATGAATGACTAACCTCTCTTTGTACACACACACACACACACACACACACACAGCTTGTTTGCAAAGAGTCACAACTATTTGCAGATGGGCAGAAAGGTCTTGCCAGGATTTAAAGTTCTTCCATCATCTATCAGCAATTTTAAGATGGAATCATAGGTTTGTGTTTATGAAATTTTGGAGAGGCTTTCAAACTTTTACTAAAACCTTGATGTTTTTCTTTATTGAGAAATCAATGGGACATATTTTAGGTTGGGTTATTATTTTTTCTTTTTTTAAAGAACTTGATTTTGAATTGTTGTTGTTGTTATTATAGATGCCAGGATAGATTTGGGGTGATGGATTGCTTGGGTAAGCTATGGGGTATGATGATTTTGGAAAACCTATTTTGAATTTTTTCCCCTTTGGGTGTGTGGGGACATCCGTGAAAAGAGGGAGAATGCGGGTGGCACAAATTAGGAAAATTTATCTGACATTTGACTGGCTCAGGATGTAGTGCCTCTGCTTGGAACTCTGGCTTAGATGATAGGCTGTTTGTCAAAGAAAAATTAAACTTATGAGGCTTCTAAGAAGGCAGCTTGGTGCAGTGGAGGGAGGGCTGGATTTGGAGTCGAGTACATGTATTTGAGTCCCTACTCTGCCATTTTCTACCTGTGCCATCTTGGGCAAATTCTTTAATCTCTTCAGATTCTAATTTTTCACATCTGTAAAATGAAGGGGTTGAACAAGGTGATCTTACGTACCTTTGAACTCTAAATCTATGATCCTGTGACAGCCTAAGAGCATATTTGTGTGTGCATGCCCATGTGGACATGTGTATAGACACACGTGCATGTTCATGTATGTGCTGGTTGCAATACATGTATGTGCATATAAGTGTCTCTGTATGAGTGTGTACCTGTGTACACAGGTACTGCACATAGCTATGTGTACGTGTGCACATGCGTGTTCATGGGTATGCCTGCTCTATGTGCATGTGTGTGCATAAATGTGTCGGTGTGTATGAAAGCATGTGTGCTTATGTACACAGGTGTGCATGCATGTGCGTATGTGATTGTTCTTTGTAGTATAATAAGAGCTGTCATGAACCTCAGAGGGCATCTTGTCTGACCTGCTTCTGAGCAAGAATCCCTTCTCCAATCACCTTAATAAGGAGCCATCCTGCCATTGCCTGGAGATCATCAGTGAGAGGGAGCTCATTATCTTCTAAGTTATTCCTCTTCTGGATAGCATCACTCATTGAAGAATTGGTGCTGTTGAGGCTCTTCGTTCAATTAAAGGACAAGAGAAGACTTGTGGAGGACATGACCATTGCCCACATAACTTGAAGGACTCTCTCATCAAGAAGAGTTAGATTTCCTCTGAGTAATTCACCTAGATGGAGGAACCCAGAACAATAAGTGGGAGTTACAAGGAGGCAGATTTCTATTCCATAGAGGAAGAGCTTCCTAACCAATGAAATGAGCTGCCTAGAAAGTAGAAAGCATCCTTTTTCTGGAGGCATTTAAGCAGAGGCTGGTAAGAAGTGTTGTAGAGGGAATTCCTACGTGGTGTAGCAGGTCAGACTAGGATCTAAGATGACCTATGATTATGGAATTATGGATTTATCTCTCATATGCTCCCATGACCGATGTGCAGACTGAACTTAAAGCTTAGGTTAACAAAAAACCTTTTCTGAACTTGTCTCATCCCATATGCACAGATTCAAATGACTTGTTTTATTCTTGAGAATCTGATACCAAGCTGGCTGTAAAATGTGTTAATCTATACAGTTCTAATTTTATCCAAACTGAAGATCATCTTATAAAGCAAGCAAATAAACCCCATACTTTCCTAAAGCAGATTTCAAATTGGCAACTTTGGGCCTTTCAAGCAGCACTTTGGGGGTTGAGCTACTTCAAAAGCAGCTGTCAGATAAATTTTCCTGGCTTGTACCATACCAGTTTTCCTTGTGATATTCTTTTGATCTTTGTCTTTTCAGTCACCTCAAAGAAAAAAAAAATTAAAGACAAAGTTACCAAAGCCATCCCCCTATTGATAGTTTTAATATTAAAGATTACATTAATCTAGCTAGCACCTTAAGTGTGACTTTCTTTGGGCTACTCTCCAAATTTCCACTAATGAGTTCCCCCCCTCCCAGGATATAAGACTAGCCCTAAGTTGTAGGGTTTTACCCTGCAGGTGCTAGTCACATGAGCACATGCCAGTGTGCTTCTCATTGACATCCCAGTGGACAAAATAGGCTTGTAGAAAAGCCGAGGACTATGATGACATGGAATGACAATAGAAGGGATAAACCTTGCCCTTGTAAGCCTGTGCCACATTCTCCCACAAACCCACAGCGTCCATGAGAAGAAGAGGATCGAACTTTACAGTAGTAAATACGAGGCATATGCATAGGATGTAGGCGTGGCAGAGGAAACTCACAGGTCCTGAAATTTAGAATTTCTTTGTCTTTTCCTGCAGTCTTTACTTACACAATTCTTCTTGGGTATAGTGTCTCCACCGGGCACATTGCTTAGCTGAATTCCTCAGGTTGGCTCGCTGCCCCTCAAAGGCCACAGGGTTGGGGAGAAGAGACAAATTCCTTCATTCTCTACTTCAAGACTTTCTTCCATAAGAAGTTTTCAGTTGTCAATTTCTTTCACATTTCGGCTATTGAAATTTGTCCAGGGCTTGACTCTTTAAAGCCCCCAGAGTCTTGGCTTATTTGCTTGGCCGGTGTTATTCCTTGATTCAATCAGAGAAGTGCCCAAACCTCATCCAAATATTACTGGATATGGCTGAATGTTTATACATAGTTTAATATGTTGTGGTTACATCATGAGCTATCTGGGGTAGGGGTAGTAAAAGATCAACACCTCTACATGAGATTTATAAAACTTTGAATGAATATTATTTCATTTTGGTGTGGAACCACCACTTCAATGAGGTGGCTAGTGTAAGTTGTAGTATTTCCATTTTCCAGAAAAGGAATCTAAAGCTCAGAGAAGTTTCTAGGCCCTGCTAGACCAGGACCACAAGCTGGAAGAGCTAGGATGTGAGCCCAGGTCTTTTGACTACCAAATCTAAAACTAGTTCCACTGAAAGGCAAAATACCCATTTGAAAAGTTTTCTTAAAAGTTATGAAAACAAACCAACAGTTGCACTTTATACTGACCCAGTAACACATTGGCTAGGGAATCCCTAGCAAACAGATCACAGCTAGGAAAGGCTTTTCTGCCTATTTTCAAATCAATACTTATCTGCATATATGTATATGCAAATACACACATCTTAGTCTAAAGATCAGTTCCATGGGAAAAATAATGTGTCCTCCATTTTACCTCAAATGTTAAACATATTCAGTGGAGTGCTGGACTTAGAATCAGGAAGACTAGGGTTCAAATTTTGCCTCTGCTTGACCATGGGCAAGTCATTTAACCTGTCTGAGCCCTTAGTTTCCTCATCTGTAAAATTACCTTTATGAACCTCATGAGAATCCACATGGCAGTATGGATGGTGAACCAGCTTCAGAGTCAGAAACCTGGACTCAGGTCCTGCTTGTGCCACATCCTAGCTGTGTGGCCCTTCCAAGGCCACTCTTTAAGATTGTAAGTTATTGTTGAGTCATCAAACTCTCTATAAGTGCAATTTCTACTCTTTGTTTTGGTTTTGGGGTTGCTTTTCTAGCCCTTACCTACCTTCCTTCTGCCCAGGGTACTGACTCCAAATGCTATCAAAATAGACTATTTTTCAGTTTAAGCATTGGGCTGCACTCACTAGAGAAAGGGTGGAAGGGGTTAGGAAGAAGGGAAGGGTTTCAGTGTAAAGGGAGATTGATGAGGTTGATCTGAGTCAACACTTTGCAAAACGTGTAAGAGTATTTCTCTGTGTGTCCTATTCTTTATCTTTCACTTCAGCAGACATTTAAGTATCTGCTGGGTGCAGAGCACCATACTAGGCACCAGAGGAGGTACAAAGACAAAAAAGAAACAGGAATTATTTAGTCTTGTTATATAAAACACAACTGAATATTATTCAACTTGCTGTGACTTAGACAAATTTGATCCCATATCTGGGTTTCTATTTTTCCATATTTAAAATGATGAGAAGGGACTACTGCTGTCTAAGGACCCTTCTAGGTTTAACATACTAAGCTCTCCCAGCCTGAGCATTCTGTGTTCTATGACCTCTTCCTGCTTTGATGCTCTGTGTTCCAAGGTCCCCTCCAGCTCTGGCATTCTGTGAATCTATGAGTCTGTGAGAAGGGTACGGGAGGTACAAAGTTCTATGTGAGCTTGGATGAGGGAAAGATCACTTCTGATTGGGACCATCTAAAAAGGACCAGGTCACATATTTGCTGTAACTAGAATTTTCATGTTTAGAGGAACATGTGGGAAGAGGTCAAGAAAATAACTTTAAAGAACCTTCAAAAAGCTAATTACTCTGACTTTACAGGCTGTATAACAACGGAAAGTGGACCACTGCCCCGTCCAGATGCCTCAGCTATGGAAATATGCAAGGGTCATCTTTTTATCATGGTCACCTCTCCCCAGTTGCCCAGCAAGATCCTCTTAGCAGCCAGCCACATAAGTTCCAAGCTTCAGGCCCATGTTCTACACCAGTCTGCTGTTCTCACTGCCCCCCTGCCCTCCATGCACACAAAAGCCAGACCCTGCACCCTAGTGCGCACCATCCCCAGAGCTTTAGACAGCCCCCTGAAATGCAGCCCCCACCACACATGTCTGCCCAGTACACACCGGCAGCACCACCCAGTGAGAAAGATCAGGCCTGCAGCCCCCCTCCTGTGAAGCTGATGCAGCCCTGGCTGGATCCCCAGCTGCACACAGAGCCAGAGAGTACCCCCCAGGGGCTAGGCAAGCTCTCCCATGCACTGCCCCTGCAGCAGGGCCCTCGGCCTGCCTGTGCTGGGGCACCACCAGCACATGCCCAGCACACTCAGCGTTCCCTGCAGGCCCCCTCTGTCCAAGTCCAGTTTGGTCACCACCAGAAGGTAAAGTTCAGTCATTTTCAGCAACACCAGCAGCTGCCCCCACCCCAGCCACCACAGCCACTGCCCCCACAGCAGCAGCAGCAGCCGCCGCTGCCACCACCTCCACTGAGCACGGGTCAGCATGAGAGTGCCCATGAGCCTGTCCTGCCTCCTGGCCTGGACATCATGCACCATAAATTTGAGCTGGAGGAAATGCAGAAGGACCTGGAGCTTCTTCTTCAGGCTCAACAGCCCAGCTTACAGCTCAGCCAGACCAAGTCTCCTCAACATGTGCAGCAGACCATCGTGGGCCAGATAAACTACATAGTGAGGCAGCCGCCCCACTTCAGCCAGTTCAAGAAGAAGTCTCCCAGGTGAGTCCACAGGCTGTCCTGGCCAGACTAGCAGGTACCAGGTGTGGACTCGAGGTAAGCTCTGCCTATAGCCCACTTATGGCCAGCAGCAGCAGATAACTTGGTCCTTCCATGAGCCTCAGTCTCCTCCTCTACAATACAGGGACAAACGTGGCTCTGTTTCCTTCCGAAGGATGTTGTGAGGATCAAAGGAGATGAGGGATGGGAAAGTACTTGGTAAAACTATAAAGCTAGAACTATGTGGAGCACTTCAAGTCATCCTAAACTGCTCACTTGGAAAAGCTAGGGGATCTTAGCTCTAGAGCTAGAAAGGATCTTCTCTGAGAGTTAAGAGCTTTTTGATTAGGGAAGGCATCAACCCTTGGTGAAAGAGCCAGCTTTAGAACCAGAAAACCCTGTGTGATAAGAGAATTTTAAGCAAGGGATATATGAGAGCAAGGACACATTTCTCAAACCCCCTCTTCTCCCCACTCACTGCTTTTCTACTCACCTGCAATGGCAATTTTATGGTTCTGTGGTTCTGTGATCCTTGTCCTAAGTAACATGGAGTTATGAGTGACATACTGTTTCTTAACCTATTATTTATCTATTAAATCTTTGAAGTTACTTTAAGACTCCCTGAAAAAGAGAGTGTAAATGGTTATTTTAGAATGGGAATCATTATTTTAGGTCTTATTTCATCAGAGAAAGTTCCCTGTAAGAGGATGTCTTGTAGGGGAAATTTGAATAAGGGGAGGAACTTGATTTGGGGAATTGGAGACAATTTCAGGAAAGAGGAAGTAGAGGACATGTGGTGGCAGTTTTCTCATCTGGGAAATGAGACAATTCATCTCTAGAATCCTTTTTTGCTCTAAATCTGTGGTCCTAGTAGTTCAGGACCCAGCTTTCTCTCTTTTAGGGAGAACAGCTTTCCAGGGCTTTTGCTCTGAGCACTATTGCTAAAGCTTGCCTGAGTCTTCAGCTACCAGGGTTAGTTTCTCTCAATCATGAGTAGATTCCAGAGCTTGGCTAGCCTTCATAGTAACACTTCTCTTTGTGGGTGGTGAGGCAGCTATTAGGAATTTGACTCTTTCCTTGTCTGCAGTACTTGGGAAAATTGACGTTCCAGATAATGTTTATCAGGAGCCTAGAGGGTTCTGTTATATTATGTAAGCTCTTCCCAGGGAGCACTAGAATCTCTAGCAAACAACTCAGGATTTCAGAGAATTAACATGTACCTCATTGACTGGACAAGGCTGGCTTGATGACAAACTGTGAAGCTGACTAGGTATTGAGAGGCAGAAAAATGATAGAGTGGAAAAAGAGAAGCTGATTTTCAAAGTTTGGCCATTTACTACTTATGAGACCTTAGCTATGTCACTTTTACCCTATGGGCTTTAGTTTTGTTATGTATAGAATGAGAAACTAGATGAACTCTCAAGTCCCATGGGCCTATGATCCTAGCTGTGAGTGGATATGGTGGAATGGAAGCTGGGCTGGTAGTCCCAAGCCCTGGCTCCTAGGGCTGGTTGTACTACTAACTCATTGTGTGGCTGGGTCTTCACTTTCATTATCTATAAAATAAGGGGGTTAGACTCTAGGAACTCCAAAGTCCTTTCCTATTATGTGATTATACGTTTCTTTATCATCCCTCTTTCTAGGTTTGTATCCCAAATGACTCATCCTATCTAGTCTGTGCTTTCTAGGCTCATGTTTATCATTTTTCTTTCTCTCATCCATATGAAAATATGCCTCTCATATTTGAGCCTTTCTGGGCCAAAGGAGTCCACTAAACTGCCCAAATAGATTAGTCTAGGTATTGGGGGCTGTAACTTCCAAAAAGTTTAAGGCCTTTTATTTCAATCTAATAAATATTTATTAAATAGCTACTACTTACAAAGATCTAAGCTCAGTGTTCAAATTCAAGTTCCAGCTCTGTTTCACATTAGCTGAATGACCTTGGGAAGTCATTCAATTGTGTCAAATGAAAAAGTGAGCTTCTTCAGTAAAAACTTTCCAAGCTTTAGAGCTAGTCTTTGTACTGTTTGTTCATGGCAAGCAAATTTTTGCTTCATAGCAATGGTAGCAGCTGTTTTTCTACTGGTTTTCTTGCTGTTCTTCCAACTTCAGAAAGCCTATGCCACACTGTAGAGAAATCAGTAACAATCTCTTTAGCTGCCAGGTCTCTCTGAAGGTCTTTGCTGATTTTCTGAGAATTTTAATATTAGGCTGTTCTGGAGCCATAGTTTCTGTCCTTGGTGTTGTTTTTCATTTTTGTAGCAAGAATGCTCTGGCTTATCTTCTGGAGCTTGGTAGACTACACCTCCCCCTCAGAGCACTAGGCTACCCTGAGGAGTTTATGCATGTGACATCTTGTCCTATGCTTGAACCATCAACTATTCTCCCCTTTGTTAGGGGCAAGCCATTAGGACCCCTGTTCCACTTAACTACTTAACATCAATTAGCTTTTACAAAGAGATATTTGCTTAAAAGTTACAGCAAGAACAAAGTATAAACATTTCCCCTACCAACACCTTGAGGGAAGTCATATTCTCTTCCCATGTAGCCTCAGGGTGTGAGGGGAATAGACTAAAACTTTCGCTCGATTCCTATATGGCACTGGTCCCACCAGTTTCATCTCCAGATGTGGCACAACTGCCAGATGAGTCCTTGTATCTCCATCTGTGGGTCTAGAAGATCACTCTCAAAAGTCACTACTTGCTCCACAGAGCATCAGTGCTGCTCAGACTGCAGAATTCAGTTTCCCACTCCCATTCCCATGATTCCTGTGACTTATTCTTTCAACCTTTTGAAACTCCCGAAGCTGGAGACTCCACTCCTTTCACCTGCAGTGGAAAAGGACAAAGGAAGATTGAGGCGTGTTTCTCAAGGCCAGGTAGGCTGATAGTGAGAAAGTCCTAAGCTCTTTCCTCTTACGTAGCTTGGTCTTTTCTTGGATACTGTGAGTAAAAGAGTTACCATATGAGGCCAAAAGAGGTAGCCAAAACTGACTCTGGCCTTTTTGAAGATGCTTCCAGTTCTGGCTGTGTAGCCAGTTGAAAAAGGTTCCACCCAAACGTGTTGTTAACTAATCAGAACCAGTTACAGAATGTCTATGCATGGTCCAATCTCTCCACCTTATTAGTCTTTCTTGGGAGCATTCTCCCTATTCTTTCCACACAAAGAAACATTTCAGGCATGCCAAGTACATGCCCTTCTCCAATTACATTTTCAACTACACCATTCTTGATGCTTCTGTGTGAATGATGCCATTTTATTGTAAACTTGAATAATTCTTAAAACTCTGATTCCGCATGCTAGTAGCCTCTGAAACATAGCTAATAGTTATTAAAGTGGGTTCTTGAAGCCCTACAACTTTTGCATATTTCCTTGGAATGATATTCATTCTTAAAAGCCATAGAATGGAAAACCACAAAAGAGAGTAATGAAATAGTGTATGTGGTGTGAAACTCAGTACTCAAATGACAGAGAACTAAGATGGAGGAACGAGATCAATCTGGTTTTGTCTGAGGGTCCAAGTCAGTCCAGTGTTAGAAGCAAATGTAAATTAGTGACAGCCATACTGTCCCTAAATGAAACCATGCCAAAATTACAGCTTCTCTCAAGTAATTTATACAACACTGTCACCCAAAGCAAGTCATTCCTCACCTCTTCTACAACATCCCCAATAAACAGTCATGTAGTTTTTAATGAACGACCATCACTATCAAGGAAGCTCACCTTCCCTGGAGGCAGCCCATTCTGCTTGGAGACTGTACCTTTTAAGATAAAGGTCAGGAATGAGATCACTTGCTCCCACTTTGTTGGGCAAGAACAAATATGCTACCACTAATTGCAAAGATTCATTGATAACCTCCTGACTAGTCATTGATTTCATCAACAAATCTAAGCCTGGCTTTTACTCTTAACTCTCTTGAGACAGTCTTAAAACTCTAAGTGATATTATGGACCTCATCATCATGGAGAATGCTTCAGCTCTGATCCTCAGCAGCTCTGATCCTCAGCACCTCTGCAGGAGGTTGCCTCTCCTCAGAAAGGAGTTGCTTCTCCCATCTGTTTGGAGAGCTGGAGGGCAAAGCAAAAACCTCTTCCCCAAACCTTCCGTTGTAGAGGTCTTGGAATTTTCCAGGCAATTCTTTATTTCCCACCAGCTGCTCCACTTGATTTCAACTCCATAAAAAAATCTAGTCTCCTCTGGCAGCCCCTCCTACCTTTCTCAGCTTCCTTTTGTGTCTTGTCTTCCTCAATTAGATTGTAAGCTCCTTGAGGGCAGGTACTGTCTTTTTATTTGTATCCTGAGTGATTAGCACAGTGCCTGGCACTAGTAGGTACTGATTAAATGGTTTTTGATTTGACTCTACAGATCACTATAGCTCTACCTCATCATGCCAAACCTGCCATCTTGAACTCTCCATACTATTATCAATCAGTCCTACTATGTTTTGCTCTCTCTTTGGGAAAAGAGCCACTTTGCTTCCTTCTTTTCACTAGTTCCCATCTTCCTGTACTACCTTTATTTCCCCTGCCACAATCACAACACCATTGTACTCCCTTACAATATCACCTTCAGGGCTACACAGTTTTCATCTGCATTTTCTATCCAAGTCCAATAGATATATCCCGTTTTAAAGAAAACACTTAAGACCTTATATCAATGTTTTAACAGATAAATGAAACTGACCCAAATTTATAATCATTTTGGGAGGAGAGAGAGAGTTCTTACCCAAGGGCAGGAAGGGATCATAGTGAATTATAAACTGAATACCAGTCAACACTGGGTCTGCTGTTATTGCTAAGAAGGCAAATATCACATGTTCCTTTGAAGGTTTCCCTCCATGTAGTTCTACCCCAGGAGGCTGTAGGGTGTAGAGGCAAGAGCCCAGTTTTCTTATCTGTAAAATAGAGATATTGGGCTAAATGGCTTCTAACATCTCTTCTAACTCTAAATTTCTAACTCTAAATATGATTTATACTTTATGATGGTAAAAAAGGATAGTTCCTTAGATCTCCCCTTTGTGTTTTAGAAGAACTTGTCCAAAAATCAGTCATTTGCTAAGCCCTTACTGTGGGCCAGGCACTGGAGATACAAAGGAAGCCAAGCCACAAATGACCCCTGACCCTCCATTCTAAGGGGGGCAGGAAGAGCAACATGTAAGTAAAAAGATACATACAATATATATGCTGAGGAGAAGGAAGATAACCCTAGAGAGGAAGGCCCAAGTGAGTTGGGGCACTGGGACAGGCCTAATCTCCTGTAGAGGGGGCATTTAAGCTGCCTCTTGAAGAAAGCCATGATGCTAAGAGGCAAGGTGATGAGGGAGAGATAAAATCAAGACAAGGGCAGAGAAAAGAGAGTGTTGTATGTGAGGAACAGCAAGTAGGTCTCCATCAATGGGTCTTGGAGTGTATAGAAGAAAGTAAAATGTGAGGAGAATGGAAAGGTAGAAAGGGGTCCAGTGATTAATAGCCTTAAATACCCAATGGAGTACTTTATAATTGATCTGGTGGTAATGGGGAACCACTAGAGTTTACTGAGCAGGGGATGTCATCATCAGATCTATGCTTTAGGAAAATTACAGGTCACTGGGTGGAAGACAGATTGGAGAAGTGATGGACTTGAGTTAGGGAGACTAGTTGGAAGGCCTTTCAAATACTCAGTGCAACAGATGATGACAGTCTGAACTAGGCTGTATGAGGAGGGAAAAGGTGATGTATGGGAGAGATGTAAAAGTAGAAATAACAAACATAAATGGGGTGAGAGTGTGGAGGTGGCAGTGGAGGCATGGGGGGGGTGAGTGCGCTGGGTGGTGGGGAATGGTTGCTTACTCTGTTAGTGACGTCTGAGCACGTGTCTTTTCCCTTGCAGGCTTGTGAGGAGCCCAGTGTACCTGAAGGCCCAAAGCCAGTTCCACCTCTTGACAAGACTGTCATCCCTTCTTTGACCCAGGCCATAGCAGAAGATGCCCCTGCCAGTGTGCACCCTCTGGACAGCACCTTGCAGCCCTCATCTCCTAATCCAGTGAGAAAGGTACTGATGAAGTCAGCTTCCCTGGAGCCAAATGACCCACAGTCTGGCTCTGGTGGCATAGTAAAAGAATCAAGCATTTTATGGGGTCACCAGGGATGGACTACAATAGAGGACAGGCAGGGCCCGCCCCAGTGGCCTATGGCTTCTGAAAAAGTGCATGATGGAGTCTAATGCTGGGTTTAGGCATCCTTTTGTCAGCATTCACACTGCCACTTTTCTGAAGTGTGAGGAATGTCCAACATCTGGCTTTCTTTTCTGATCAGAGAGAGGAGTAATTAGAGCTGGAAGGAAGCCACTTCTTTGTCCCTTTGGAGCAGGTTACTATCTGTAAGATACTTGTAGGATACATAATTTTGTCAGTGTAAACATTCTTTCTTCCAAGGCAAATCATAAACACTCCATGCCTTCATAGAGAGGTTTTCAAGACTGGCTGAAAAGAAAAAAAAAAGAAATTCATCACTTAGTACTCAGCCCTCTGCTGATGACTCTCTCTGAATCTGGCCAAGCTGGTCATTGTATATATTGCATATATATTCCATTGCTGGACATATAGCTAAAGCCTTTACATCTTTGTAGGAGGGGCCAGATGTTGTATTTTCACAATGAGGCCTCAAGGTCTCAGGGTTCATTTCTATACCACAGAAAAGTAGGGCATTTACGTAGGATCTTTATCTGAAAAAGGAGAGATATGGACTAGATGATCTGTAAGGGACTTCCAACTCTGAAGTCTTATGATGCTATTATAATCAGGAAGATAAAGGCAAAATATGAAAAAATACTTAAAAGTTTTAATGCCTTTGATGTTTTCCCTACTGAATAGGATTAATAATGCAAACCATATGTATGGGTTTTTTCCCCCTAAGGATTATGTCTACATTTTGGGTAAGTGCCTCATGGTGAGTAGTTACTAGTTATGTGGCCTCAGGTAAATTAATTCACCTTTCTGAGCCTCCAGGTTCTGTCTGCAAAATTAGGAGATTAAACTCATTGAGTTCTGAGGGTTCTCGAAGATCCACAAATCTGGGATTTCTGATGTGATCAGAGGTCAGCGTTGGTCTAATGACCTTTTCTCTCTCCCTTGCCTGTATTCTTTCTTGTATAGCTTAGTTCTGCCTCTTCCTCCTATCTCCATCACATTTGTCCACTGTTTTGAGGGCAGCTGTGATGTAGTGGAAAGGGTCCTGCTTTGAGGGTCAGGAGTTCCAATGATCCTATGCTCTGCTAGGCTATGCTCTGCATTAACTTGCTGAATGATCTTAGGAAGGATCCTCTGTGGGCTTCTGTTTCTCAGGCTATAGAATGAGGGAGTCAGTGATCTCTGAGAGCTCTTCCAGCCCTAAGATTTTGGTTCAATTCTAAATTCTATCTTATCTGATTCTATGTTAGAATCAGAATCTCTAATGGAAGAGCCAGGTTAGTGAGTAGAAGTAACTGAGTTTACCTGTGTCCTCACTCCAAGATTATATTAAACAATAGATCCTAGCTCCATTTTGATGAACTCAAAGGCCAATGCCTTTTGGTCTGATGCTTTTGTCTTTGTCTGACCCATCTCTTCCTACTTATCCGGTTTAGTTTTGTCCGCCTCACTCCAATCTTCATCAACTAATCCATGTTCTGGGAGGTATCTGTGATGGAATACAATCTAAGAGCATATTAGGCAGGCTGGCACTATCCTTAGAAACCCCGGGAACCCCTAGAAGTATTATCCAGTGGCCTGGTATTCTGGGAGTTTGGCTTGTTCTGTTGCTCAGATGTGGTTCAACCCTAGCAGTCGTCCAGAGCTCTGCACACTGTGGCCTCTTAGGGATCTTTCACCCCCTCCTAAGTTTTCCTAATACTGTGCCCCACCTCTTCTTTCCTTCCCCCTTGCCATCCTTCCAACCCCCCCCACCCCAGCATGGCTTGTCAGGCAGGGTTCTGGTGCAGGGATCTGGCTTACAGAGGGAGCTGGAGGCTGAAAAGGAAGGAGGTAAAAAATAGAACTTTAACTAGGCAGATTGCAGAAGAATTATGTGTGTCCTATGCAAATCGAATATAATTTTAATGCATATTCACTCATGTCTGTACTGTTATGTACCCCAGCGAGCCAAAAAAGAGCTTCTGGTCCCAGGAGCTCTAGACAGCATTGTTCCTCCTGTGCAGTGTCCAGCTTCTATGTTGGGTCCTCATGCTGGGTTGGGGTGTGGCCGATATCCCTTTACTTCTTTGTAGTAGAAATAGCCTGTAACCTGAAGTCTGGAGATAGATTCTCATCACAGCTTGGCCACTAATATGTAACCTTGGCAAGTTATTGGCTCTTGATCCATCATCTGAGCCTCAAGTCATTGAGGCTGATTCTCCTCCTCTGTCAAATGAAGGGATCAAAGTGGGTGAGAGGGAGCAGGGTTTGTATTGAGAAAACCCGAGTTTGAATTTCAGCCCTATGGCTTTTTATTTATGTGATGGTAGGCAGCTCACTTTGCCTCTTCAGACCTAGGATTCTGTACCCATAAATTGAAGGGAGTAGGCAGACGATCTCTAAGGCCCCTTGCAGCAGTAAAAGCCTTGATTCTAGGCTCTTTAAATCCCTTTCTAGCTCTAATGTCCTATGGCACTGTGTCTGTGTTTCTGTCTTAAACTACAAGCCCTAAGAGGGTAAGGAATGCATGCATACATCCTTGGATTAATCTTAGCTCCTGAGTGGGGAGCTCCCAGGGAGCAGGCCCTCGATGCCAGTGATGGAGATAGAGCCTCTTCCAGGTAAACTAGAGTAATGCCAGGGTCCAGCAAAAACATGATGGTCTGGTAGATACCTATGAGTCGTATGCTTGTAGGCAAGTCACTTTAACTTTTAGGAACTTCAATTTCCTCATCTTTAAAATGAGGATAATAATACCAGAACATGTGCCTTAGGATTGTAAATGAAGTTCCAATGAATCATGTCTAGAGCATTTTTTGTGAACTGCTAAAGTATGATGCGAATGCCAGTTATTGCTGATGATAATGGTTTTCACTGCACGAGTACCACCAGGGTGCCCTTGTTGCCATGACATACCAGCCTACCAGGATCTTGATACAGGGATGATGAGACTGGCATCTCCATGAGCATGAAGATCATGAGCTAGAGTGAACATTGTCACTGGCTGACAGCCTGATGTCCTGGAAGTTCAGTGTGGCTGGTGGAGAAAGCACCAACGAAGAGTTAAGGAGCCAAGGTTTGAGGCTGGGCCCTTGCTCTTACTAGTCGTCTAACCTTGAGTAAGGCACTTCAGCTCTCTATTGCTCAATTTCTTTCCATGTGAAGTGTTAGTGGAGATACATCTACTACTGATCTCGCTGGATTATGGGGAGGGTCAGATGAAGTAACATTTTTCACAGAAACAAATGAAGCCATTTGCAGAGGGGCTCCTTCTCCTCCTGTCCTCCTCATCTCATATCACTCAGATGCCTTCTACCACTATTCCTTACATGGAGAGGTGGCCCTTCTCCTTGCCAAGGCAGACCCCTGCATGCACGAGTGATTCCATTCCACCCCATCTTCTCCAGCAGATGGCCCCCTCTGTCATCTCCATTCTTATTTATATTCAACGTCTGCTAGCTGCTACCCTATTACCTATAGACTTGCCCATGTCTCTCCCATTCTCAAAAAAAATTCTCACTTCATCCATCTGTCCACGTTAGCTATTGTCTCGTGTCTTACCTCCTTTTTGTGGCTAAGGCCACCTGTGATTGATGCCTCCACTTCCTTTCCTCTCACTCTCTTCTTAGCTCTCTATAGTCTGGCTTCTGACCTCATCATTCAATGGAAACTGCTCTCTCCAAAGTTACCAATGATTTCTTAGTTGCCAAATCTAATGGCCTTTTTTCAATCCTCATCCTTCTTGACTTCTCTGCTTGCAGCTTTTGACACTGCTGATCACCTTTTTCTTCTTGATAGTCTTTTCTCTCTAGGTTTTTGTAACACTACTCTATCTGTTTTTCCTCCTCCCCTTCTCCTGTCCTGGATTTTCATCCAGGTCATGCCCTCTAAAGAATGGTCTCCCCTGGGGCTCTGCCCTAGACTCTCTTCTCTTCTCTCTCTATATGAATTCACTTGGTGATACCACCAGCTCCTATGGATTCGATTATCATCTCTTTGCTGATTATTCTCAAATGTACTTATCTATCTCTAACCTCTCTCCTAACCTCTACCCTTGCATCTCCAACTGCCTATTAGACATCTCAGACTGGATGTCCTGTAGACATCTTAAAACTCACTATGTCCCAAATTAAACTTATTGTCTTTTCCCCAAACTACTCCTCGTCTGAACTTCCCTATTACTGCCAAAGGTACCACTATCCTCCTAATCAATGAGGCTTGTAACCTATGTTACTTTCTCTGTTCACTCTGTCACCCCCGTATTTGTTGTCAAGTCCTGTCAATTTTACCTTTCTAATATCTCTCATGCATGCATCTTTTTTCTCCCCTGAGATTGCCACCACTCTGGTGCGAATCCTCATCACTGCATGCTTAGACTACTACAGTGGCCTTTTGGTTGGGCTCCTTGCCTCAAGGCTCCCCCCAAATTCCAGTCCATCCTCCATTCAGCTGTCAAGTTAATCTTCTTAAAGTGTATGTCTGACCCTCTCAACCCCACATTCAGTAAACTCTAGTGGCTCTCTATCACCTCTAGGATCCAATAAAATCCTCTTTTGGATATTCAAAGACCTCCACAACCTATTCTCCCTCACCTTTCCAGTCTCTTACACCTTACTCCCCTCCGTGCCTTTTATTCTGAGATAAAGTAGCAGTGGCTTCCTTGCTGTTCCTGACACAAAACCCTCCCTCTCCAGACTCTGGACATTTTTTCTGCCTGTCCTCCATGCCTGGAATCCTCTCCCTCCTCATCTCAACCTTCTGGCTTCCCTAGCTTTCTTCAAATTCCAGCTAAAAGCCTGCCTTCTATGAAAAGTCTTTCCTGATCTCCCTTAATGCTAGTCCCTTCCATCTACTGATTATCTCCAATTTAGTCTGTACATAT